TCTAAGATGAATTTCTACTTTGATCAATTAATGAGTAAATAAGTTTGTTAAAAGGAAGGAAATGAGATGTATTCAAATTTACTGATGATGATAAATAGATATGAAAGTAATCAGGTCAATTAGAAACACATATGTCACAACAATGTAACAGACTGTAGACTTTTTGTATTTAAATCTTCTTCTGCTTTCAAATATTTCTACCAAATTATTGGGCTATTTTTTGGTTATGCTAATACTTGGTTAATAATCATTAACATAAACTAATATGGCTTTATATATATAATTAATAGTTCTGAAAGCAAAGATTGGATGGAGTTCCAGGTAGCATAATTGGGAATGCATCTGCACAGTATGCAGAAGTTGCAGGTTTATCCTATTCTGGCCTGATTCTTATCTTCCAGAAATATCTAAATTAAAAAATTATTTATTATAATTATTTAAATTAATATGAGATGGAAGTTTATCCACTTACTTCTAGTTAAATTAATTAGAGACTAATCATTAACATAGCCCAAAAATAGCGCGATAAATCGGCAGACCATTCAGCATTAATAACTTAATTAAATTGGGTTATGAGTTGGTGTTGTTATGCATATTTCTGTTCTATTTCTTTTATCGGTAGTATTTGTAAATATTTTTTCAAACATCAAGCCTAGGGAAGGTTATTAAATATGACCAAAAATGCTAGTTTTTTCCAGTTTAATAAACTTTTTTTGCTGTTGTAAAAGGTTGTATGTAGTTGATTGAGTTAGCTACTGAAGCAGTTACTTTATGAATTATGTTGATAGATTACTGATAAAGTTCATCCAGCTAAAGACAATAATCAAATGTCAAAAAATATAATGCGTTTGCAAACAACACAATCATTAACTATAATTGTATCTATTATAAAATAGAAATAAGTGATTTTTAATAAAGAATTTTAAACCAATTTGAAAACGAAACTTAAAATGATAATAAGTAAATAACTTAGCTATCATTGGAAATGACTGATTGATCACACACACTGTAATAACACATGCGCTCATCATCTTGCTCAACTATTTCATTTCATAAATAAATTTTGGTACTTTTGAAGATAGATTTCTTAGCAAATATTTAGGAGTTTTCCTTTAAATTATGATATATATCTCACCATTAAAATTCTTTAATTTGGGAGCAAAAAACATTGTAAATTAGTCTTTGGTTTTCCTCCATTAGAGCTTTATTTTTATTTTTTATTTTTATTAGAGCTTTATTTGTATCATAATTACAGATTTTGTTGTTCAATATCTTGTTTTTAATTTCTGTTTCCTTTCCACATGTTTATTTTTTTATATTATGTATGTTTGTTTATAGAATTATATTGAATACATGAGAAAAAAATCATTTAATTCTAATCTTCTAATCTGTTATTGTCTATTAATAAGAAATAAATAACTATGATCTCTCAGGTCTTATTGTTACAATTACAGATTCATCATACACTTTTCTGATTTTTATTCATTAATGCATGATGTTCTGGAATGCATTTTTGGCTTATTCAACAGTCCTCTTCAGCCAGGTTACATATATCTTGACAATATGGTATTATAATTAAAACATATAATAGTCTAATAAATGAAAATACAATATTCATATAAACTGACATTTATATTACTATATAACTAACTGCATACAACATAACATTCATAAAAAGCATTCATAAAAATTTATGTTAAATTATCAAATACTGTAACTTAGAGTTAATTTTATAACTCACAGATGCTGTTGTATGTGATATTTAGCACTTGATGATAATTTCATTTTCGTATGTTCTTTTATCTGCTTTTTCAAGTCTTAATACACCATGAAATCAGAATCCATCATAAGGCCAGTGGACCCATAGTTATTTATTACTAATTAATAAAAAAAATCACAAAATTTCATTAACTTCTTGTTGATTGTTCCCATAACAATTGAAACCTTTAATCACCTTTCTGCATTTTGTATTCTTAAACTTTAATATAAAATTTTTTTAATTTTAATTAATGTTCTTGTTTAATATTTAAGACAAATTAATATCAGATTATTTTAATTTTTTTATGTATCTATACAAATTTTGCTATCCTTAATAAATCTATAGGATGAAATATTTTAATCTAATCTAACACTTCTAAGGGATTTTAAGAGGAAAATATGTTTAATTATGTTTAGAGATTACTTTAGTTTTTAGGGTAAAAATCTATGCTTTATAATAACAAGATATAATTTAAACTCTAGCAGACAGACAGGATTGTATCAATTAGAATTGATGCAGGTTCAATTTATATTATCCAAAATTTTATAGAGGAGAATTGTTATAACAATTGAACTAATATGAGTTGTTAACAGAGTTCATTTATATATAATTTGTATAGGTTTATTGGAAGTGATGTGCAAAGTAATAGTTTATGTACTGTACAGTACATGGGTGAAAGTTGTGAATATGGTAGAAATATGATTATCTGAGCCTTGATTAAAAAAGGTTCTATATTATCCAAAGCAAACCTGTAGAATAGAATAAATACACTATTTTCCTTATAATATATTTTACAAGTTATCATTTTAAAGTTTCTTTTATCTCATGAAGTTTTTTGTTTCTTTCCTTTTATCAATTAACTTCACAGACACTTTATGTATTTGTTTCAGCAGGTAATTTAATGTAAAAAACAACAAAACTAATGTTTTTGATTGCTTTTAGAGATCTTTGTCAGGTTTCTATTTGATGAAGATCTCTGAAACTAGATTAGATATTAACCTAACAAAGTTCTCGGAAAGTGAGTGAAAACATTAATTAGCTTGGTTGTTTTTTACATTAAAGCTATCTGCTGGAACCAATACGTAAGGTGTCTGAATATTTATATCCTTTTTCAGCTTCTGAGGTGAGGTTTCCAACTAACTTCAATGTGAGACAAACCATTCGTGTGTAAAATATTACAACAATAACACACATTTTTATTCTTAAAACTATTGCACATATTAATTGTATAATAAATGATATAAAAAATGTTGTCGTCCTATATTATTAAATTTGCCTAAGGCATAAAAAGAGGTTTAAAAATGATATACCACATAAACTTTTCATATTCATAACTTTTAATTTTAAATGGCCATGGTCATCTGTTATATTCTAGATAGTATTGGTCTGTGTTGCTGAGGATAATTAGGGTTAATTGTATATCTAATGTAGCAAATTTATTTAGCACAGTATTTTCTTTAATTTGGCTTTTTATATACTGTATATACAAGGATCTGTGTTTCCCTTTCCTAGTATAGTCTACCTCTAGTACAAAATTTCTTAATTTCTAATTATTAATTGTAGCATAAGATAGCCTGATTAATTAGGTGATTGTTTGGTTTAATATTAATATATCAAGCTTTGGGATGTTTATATATATATATATATATATTTTTTTTTTTCTAGAACTTTATACATTTGATTTGTTTCACATTTCTTTGATTTAATTATTATGGAACACAGTTCCATAAATATTTTTAGAAATAAAAAAGAAGTTTTTTATTATTTTACTATTTGAGTTTAATGAAGATGAATAATATTTTACAGCCATATAGATATGCTATATAAATAAAATTATAAAATGATTAATTTTGTGCTTCACAATGCACAATAAAAGGAAGATTTCTTCATGCATTCATTCATTCATTCATTCAGATAACAAAAATTTGATGTAATTAATGTGAATAATAATAATTTTATTCATTCCTGAATATATTCTGATATATCAAAGAGAGAATTTGTGCTCAATTTAAACAGGATTTAATGGTAATGCTACTAAATATTTGACGAAGTATCTATTGCTTAGCAGTAATTTAGTTTTTATCGGATAATTATCACAATTGATAAAGAACATTAAATATTTTTAAGTAAATGTGTCTAGTCTATTTTATTGTCCTCGTTGTTTTATCAAATATTTTTTTAAAATTCTGCCATCACCAGAGGGAAGATGATAATGTTTGACACATTGAGGCGGACAGTAACTCTTTAATGAAAGGTCGACTTCATCGTGAGACCATTATTTCTTGCATTGTGTAGAAAGGACAACAATACATTTTAATGTATTGTCTTTTTCGAAAATTGCTTGTAAATTTTTTAAGTTTTCCTTATATGAAAGTAGTTTATAAGTTTGTTACATGTCTTCATAATTTTTTCAAGTTTTGAAGTAAAATTGTTAGTCTTTTAGTTGGTTTGGTTTATATGGTTACGGCAATGCGACACGTGGGCGATCTGCTGAATGAGAAATTCCTCCTTGGATGTCTTTTAAGGGAAACTGGCCCCTATTTAGGTGTTACCAATGTGAAGAAAACCTGAAAAATTCCACGTGACAAGTCTGTTAGTGAGATGCAAACCCACAATCAACTATCAGTTTGGTGGTTTTATCTACTCTGCCACTGATGGGCAGTGTTAGTCTAAAAGACTAAGTCTTCCTTACTGGAAATAAAAGTTTTAAATTAGGAAATCTAAACTCAAAATGAGTTAGAATTCTATGTTTACTTTGATTTATGTACTTGCCTTTTTTTCATTATATGAAATGTTTTTAGTATTTTAATTAGAAATAATAAAAAATGATAGAAATTAATGCCAAATGTTTTTCCATATTTTTAGACTATAATAAGGCTACACCAATAATTAGATGTCAAGTAATTTGACTACAGATAGGTGGTTAAGCCACCATCTCCTGATAATTTTAAGAACTATAATGAATTAATTTTCAATATAAAATTCCTGGGAGAGAAGAATTGGCCCAGAGCAGGGCTCGAATCCACAACTCTTGCTTACCATGCAAATTATAGCCTTATTATAGCCTGATGATATGCAGATCTTTTGAAATAAATTAAAAATTTGGTTTGTGGATATTTTGTTTGATAGAAATTATTTATTTATTCACATTTTTTTGTTTCTTTTTACCAAATTTTTTTGTAAGTGTTTTAAGTAAAATTTATTTTCAGTAATTTATTTTAGTTTTAATTAATTAACACAGGAATTCTCAGAATGTCGTATCATCGACTCATTCAAAAACAGTTAAGAAAAGTAGGATACGAGGTGGAGTAGTTACCAAAGAAGTTAAGAATAATGAACAAGAAATTGGTGCTGACGTAAGAATAATGTCAACTCCTAAAGAGTTGCAGGTAATTTTTGTTTCTATTGTTTGTTTAGATATTATTAAGTCTAAAATAAAAATCGTAATGTCTTTTAAAAATGTAAAAGTTTGGTGGTCAAGATGGTTCCTACTCCAGTAGGGGTACTTGGGAATGAATCTGGGAGCAAACTTTCCAGGAATGTATGGGTAGTCAATCCTTGGATATATTGGGCTTTGTCCCTCACCACCATTATGGGCCTGGCCAAACCCACAATGGATATGGAAAATGGGACTTTAGTGCCGCTTTTTCCATACTTATTGAATTTTACAAAAAATGTAAAATCTGAAATACTTTACTGAAAGTTAAAAAGCCTATGGCTAAATTTTTAAGCTTGGGATTTGGTTTCAAAGATTGTTATGTGAAATATAGGACATTACAAAATGTTGGCATTGTTCTAATTATTGATACAAAGTTTTTATTTTTAAAATGTATAATTCTTTAAAATATATAAGATGAAGATAAATGCAAAAAGCTCAAAATCATTATTAATTTATTATTACATAAACAATATTTATGTTTTTCTAATTGTGGAAATTTAATATTATCTTCAAAAAAGGATTGCTAGAGTTTGTGATATTGTAGTTGCTGGAAATTGCTACTTTACAAAATATGTTCTTTTAATGAATTTAATCACAACAACTTAATTAAAACCAAGTTTTTCAAGTTTATTAACTATTTAATAGTAACAAACGTTTCTGGCGAGTGCAAAGTGTCAGTTGACAAGAACATAAGTTTCACACATTATTAACAATAATAAGTTTTTATGATTTAGTATAAATTTATACATTCCATTTCTAATTGATTGGAGAATATTACATTGATTTAACTTATTTGGTTAATTATATTTTATGAAGTATATTATATCTTGACAATATTGCTGATTTTAAAGACCTATTAGGGAGGAGGTGGAAGTTTTCATTGAAAGTTAGTAGAAGTAGAAGTTAGTGCCAAATGGCTATTAGTAGAAAAAAGTAGAAGTTAGTGCCAAGTGGCTATTAGTAGGAAGACTTATATCTACTTAATACTAATAAAACTGAATGCTATTGGGAATCTTAATACTATATCAGCTTTACAAGAGTGGTTCAAACATATTTTATGGCAACTGTCACATTGCTTCTACAGTTAATAAGGAATGCAACAGTTAGAAGGATAAAGAATGACAGATTATCACATTACTCTGATAGATTCATTTTTCACATCATATCATTAGGGGTTTGAATTTCCAAACTATAGATGATTCAAAATTTTATTTTCTAGTAAATAATTGGAGATATATAGTAAGAGAAATAAGCTGAATTTTATAAGTACAGTAGCCTCTTGTTACATCACTCATTTCAATGTATGCACTTTTTTTATCTTCAAAATATAAACTCTTTAACCAATAATTTTTAAAACATTCATTTCCATTTAAAGAAAAATTACCTTATTCTAACCATCAAAGAAAAATTACCTTATTCCAATCATCAATATTATGACTACCATCATATGAAATACAAGCCACATAAAATCAAGTTGGCACGGAGGTCAAAAATAGAGAAAACCAAGTGGATAGCATCCAATATATTGCTCATTTGGTTTCTCCCCATCATGGGTAATATAATAAGTGGCTACTGTAGTTATGTAATTAAATTACTATATACATTTTTGAAGTTACAAGATAAATTTTAATTAAAATTTAAAATATTTTATGAAAATGTGAATTTAATAAAAGGCTAGTAATTATATTAGAATATTCAAATTTCCAGTTTATTATTTGAATTATAATGGCAAGTGAAATTTAATGTATATTTCAAACAATTTACATACATGAGAATTAATTTTAATTCCAGTTTGATTAATTATATTAATAATAAAATTAACAAAAATCCTTTTGTAGTTAATGCAGTCGGGTCATTCAAGACAAATTGAAGGATCTAAGTCCGGTAGTAATGTCAAATCCAGGATAACGACAACTTCAAAGAAAACGCAAATTATTAGAAAATCTGATACGTCTTTTGGCAAAATGTCTAAAAAATCCAGTGATTATTCTAGTGGCTATAACGACAGCGATTCTGAGTAAGTTAGTTTTTTAATGTTAAAAATTATTATGTACTGCTTCACATTACAAGTGATTATATATAACAGATTTTAAGCATACGGTAAAACCTGAATAAAGCAGAAATCTGCCTAAATGGAAAAATTCTTTGAACAGAGCAGAATATTCTTTTTAAGATAGAAAATATCTTAAAAAGAAACCTGTCAAACTGGAAAAAATATTCAGTACCATGCAATTTCAGTTTACAAGGTTTTACTGTATATATATTAAAAGATATATAATAGCAATAAATAATAACAGCAAAATATATAACACCAAACATTCTGCCATATTATTGTGTATGCAATATGGCAGATCATTTGGCTTTAATTGAAAGTTGGGCTTGTTGATTTATTGTTTATAAATGTATATTTTACCATAAAAGAACCATCAAAAAAACTAGTTTACAATAACAAATGTAATACAGGATAGTATAAATGTCTTGTACCAATAAAGCTAAATTAATGCCGAGAGACAGTGTGTATTTATTAATTAAAAGTTCAGTTTACCAAAAATATGTAATCATTGTACATTGTTTAAAGTAACAATTATTATTTTCATGTATTGTACAATTTCCATTTTCAAATTTTTGGAGAAAATGCAAATGATTATCTTATAATAAACTAACCAGTGCCATAACTTAATGTTATTTATGTCAATGTTTTTCAACCTTTTTCTCATCAAAGACTGGTAGAATTACAGATTATTTTATAGACCAAGTATTTATGTGCGACTCTGAATTAAGTTTGTTTATTAAGCTTATATATGCTTATCTAGAGTTACTGTATATAACAAAGTATGTACAATAACTAGAGTACTATTTAAATGTTACCTGTATCAACTGCACTGGCTTCAATACAGTCAAATATTTTTCTGTGGACCAGGGAAATTTTTTCACTGACTGGCACTGGTCCATAATGTCTTTCAATAATTAATTAATTGTATATTTATGACTCTTTAAATGCTCCATTCAAATCTTTTCAATTTGAATCACCAGGTTTGTATTAATAGTTTAATTAGCTATTTATATGATTTTATAAAATGAGCATATTAGAGCAACATGACAAATATTCTCAGATTTGTAGAAATTGTTTTGCGATATTTTTTCCATATATTGATGTAATACAACGGTTCCCAACCTTTTTCGGGTGGCGACCCCCTTTTTATAAAAGCCAAGTGACCCGCGACCCCCATACAATTGAAAAAGGTATTTTAATAAGGTAATTAAAAAACAATGAAATTAGTTTTTTAGTATAATTTTATTTTAAATTATGTTTAATAATTAATTTAATGAGATGGTTGAAATTGCATATTATTAACCAGCCTCAAAATTCGCGGGTGAGATTTTGTTAACGCCAACCTCATGTCATTCTCAACATTTAATTTATTCCTCTCAAAACTCTCAACACATGTTTCAACCAACTGTGACAGAATAGCGTACCCAGATTACACTTATTTTAATTTTTTAAAAATATATGAAATTATTCAAACTTTAAGACACCATTAAAAATAAATATTGCATTATAGTGAAAATTTTGTTTTAGTTTACTGCATAAGTTGGCGACCCCACAGAAAACCCGTCGCAAACCCATAGGTTGGGAACCCGTGATCTAATACATTGGTAATTTTCAGATATTTTTCTGGTTTTATCATATTGCATGTATATCTAACTTACAAATTATGTAAACATGATGACAAAATTTGACATAATTAGAATTTATAAATTCCTAATTATGTAAATTATGATTTCATACATTTGAAAGATATATCAGAATAATTTAAGACAATTGAAAATGAGTAATATTTAATTTTTTATTAAATATTACTCATAAAAATAAAACAAAGTCAATTGTTAAGTAAGTAATAATAATAATAAATTATTCAGTTTATTGAGTTAAATTTTATCATCATCTAAATAAAATTAAACCATGCGATATGCTTTAATGAAGTATATTAACAAAAGTTACATAGCTTTCAATTACAGTGGGTCTGGTTAACTTGAACTGGACAGGGAAAAACTCAAACTTTAAAAAGTTTTGAGTTATGCAGATTTAGCTAAAAGTTAAGATTTTGTACATTTGTTTATTGGTGAGCCATAATAAACTATCCATACAATATTTCTGTGGGTCTTGCTATGTAGAATTGTTGTGTCAATGTAAACCTCTTGGTGTTGTCCAGAAACTCAAATGCTTAACCAAATACTACAGTTTGAAACACTAACACAACAGTGGTTAACTCATTCTTTAATTGGATAATATTTTGGCATGGTGAGCTAATCATTGTTTCATGTTTAACCGCATGGTTAAATAAGCTACTAAGAAATGCTTTCCCAAATGGCTGAGTTGTTCACTCCTGAGTGTTTACTAAAGAACTTTTTAAATTGCGATATCTTGCATGTAGAATTGATCATTTTTTATTTTTTATAACAAACTTGCCACTACAATTATTATATTTTTAAAATTTTTAAATAGAATTGGACTATAATCATCATTTAAATTAATCTATCAAAAATCCATTTATTTATTATGTCGACTACTTGGAGAAATCCATTTTACATTATCTAGGTCATACATGCTGTTTGGAAGCTCCCCACCCACTAGCCGTCACGTGACACAATGTTTAGTTTTAGTCATACTTGGTTTCTGTGCTTTATAGAATATTTCTGATTAGTTTATTTGATAGATAAATGTTAATTATTTAAATTAAGATTCAAGAGAGTTTATGAAAATACTGTATCAAACCCCAATCCAGTTAAATGGTTAAACTAATTTGAATTAACCAGTTTAATTTCTACACTAGACAATCGGAAAAAGAAAATGCCTTCAAGTAACTGCAACTTTGAATTATTCTGGTACAATCTAACAAAGTTCTACTGTACTTTTGATCTTTGACTCATTTTCAGGAAAAGTAAACATGATGATGTTACCATGGAGGCTCAAATAAAATGTTCAGATGTTTTGAATAAAAAATAAATATATATAAAAAAAATACTTCATTAATGTGTATCTCATAGTTTAATGGTTTAGTTGTGGTGTTATAATGTAGTAAATAAAATTTTCTGCAGATGAAATCATATGATATCATAGTATTAATCTGTATTATTATACTTATTTGTGATTTACAATGGGAATGCCTTTTCAGAATTTTGCATGGCCAAAAGCAATAATTTTTATAATTTAACATGCCATTACAAAAGTGTTTAATATAAATAATGTACTGTACATATTCATTATATTTATTATTTAAGTATTTTTCAAATGAGATTTCTTTCTTTTGTAAAAATATAATTACTCTGCATGACAAAACTATGTTGCTGTGAATTTTTTAGTTCCCGATTTTAAATAAAACAATGTAGAAAAATGATAACTGTAAGTAATATATTGTTTCTAAGCATTCGTTCTTTTAGTATGATCTTACTTTCATTTACAATTAGAAATTATTCCTCTCTCTTCACTAATTAAACATGTAATTACAGAGATCAGGTTTCTTACACATCCCTGTTTCTGAATTTTTGTTTTTCTAAAAAGAAATTACCACTAAAAATTACTTTTGAAAACATTTTTGCTTAATTATAATAATAATAATATTTTATATATAACGCACAAATGTGTTGAAAGAGAAAATCTTTTTATTCATTAAATGAGTAAAATTTATTATAAAATCTTTAATTCAAATTAACTTTTAAATTTATATTTTAGGGAGAATGTTAAGACTGATTATACATATGCAAAAAGGTTAGTAATATATAACCTTACTAAACATTAAGCTAATTATGATTTAACCATTTAAATGATTTTTGGAAATTAAAATATTTAATATAGTTCACAAAAGAAAAATTAAAGTTTTAAAATAAGCTGCAGTAACAGTTTCTTTTCATTACTATTTCTACTAAAATAAATTTTGTTTGTTAAATTTAGTTGCGCACGTTAAAATATTTAATGTTTTATTGTCCGACCCTTTAAAAATTCTTTTAAACTTTACTAAAGTATAATTGAATGTTTCATTTTATTCAGAATGACAATGCTTATTATTATTACTACAACAATCCAATTAAATTAGAATTGCTAGATTATTTAACAGCCTATATGAAGGCTAATTTAATAATTAGATATGAAACAGTTTGGCTAGAGGTCAGCAGTTAAGCCAACCAATTAATTGTTATCTTATAGTTACTGTTGAGATACTATTAGTTTCTTCTTTATGTGAGTTAAATTTGATTTGATTTGATCTGGAATTCTTTTAAAAGCCATAAATGGAATAAATTCCAATAGATACTCTGCTTTAATTTATTTTTTTTTTCTGTAAAACTGAACTTAATATGTAATTAATTTCTCATTCAGTTTTTTTTATGGTTATTTAATTTAATATTTCAGCTTTTAATAATAACATTATTAATTCCTGCTCAACTTTTGGGTACTTTTAACTTAATGGAAATAAAAAGAAAAATTTTGAATTTTAATGTAGTCATGATGATACTCAAGTTTCATCATGACTACATTAAAATTTGAAAATTGGAAATTTATAATTCTGTTTTTAATTCCTTTCATTAAAAGGAGTATTGATGTTTACTAGAGTTATAAATAAATAATTACAATAAAGTATTTATTAAAGACTTTGATTTATTGAAATAAAGACATTCTCTCAAGAAAATCATATGATAATTATCTACTTTTTACTTTTTAGACTAACAAAGAATAGTTTTAAAATAAAAATACAATAGTGTCTCTGTAATCTAGCATATATTAAACTGGCAGGTGTTCAATTACAGCAGATTGATGGATTACTGGATCTTATGTTTATGTACTCTACAGTAAAAAGCATGCTCGGTTCATGGGTTAGTTTATTGTATTCATCATGATTATGACTGTTTTGCCGACTGCACATGCAACAAACTAATGATCAACAGTATAAGCATACTGTACTGTACATTGGTGTCTTTGTTGCATACATCAAATGGTAATATGAAAATTTCATGTGCACCAACTTGAGATTAAGCCAGTTTGATACATTTAATAATATATCGGATTGGCAAGCAATGGATGTAGAGGCTCTATTGTACTTTATTATTTTAAATTTCTTTCTCTTAAATTCCTTTAGTATATATGATAAATGCTCAATAATTTTAATAAAATGTTACACAATAAATTACTAACTACTTTAAAACAAGTTTAACATTGACAGAAAATTATTATGAATTCATTAAATTACAGTTCTAATTTATAAATTTCTTCCAGTTTAAGTTACAGAAGTCGTGTAACTCCTAATAGAGGTATCATTCATCCAAACATGTCCCGTCGAAGTATTAGATCTGATGAGTCCACTCTTGGATTGCTATCCGATTCAAGCAGCGGTGATGAAAGTTACGAAAGTAAGTGAATAATTTATTAGCAAAATTATTCTTAAAAATTAATTTTTTATTAATGTATGGCATTGTAATTAAAGACTGTACTGTTTGTAAGAATTATGTTTACCTTAAGTTGGGCTGTAAACACACAATAACTGAAGGAATAATTGTCATATAGAAAATATTTTTTATAAATTAAAGAATTATTGTAAATGTAAACAACAAGTGGATGAAATTAAAACTAAAGCTAAACTTTAACTTCTAGCATTAAATTTTTGTGTGATATAACAACAGATTACCATAAATATAAACATCTTAACTACACCCAATACATTGCAATAACCCACCTTCAATTGCCATATATCATCACTGCCTGATATATGGCAATTGAAGGTAAGAGATTATCATATTTTAAGAAATGCACTTAAATATCTAGCGACAACATAAAACAATTTAATGGTAAAGAAATCATCTTCACTTAATCTCATATTTATTGGTGTTGCCATTTGTTTAGAACATTGATAAAAACTTTTTAACTGCTTCCTTTTATTTTTAATTAAATTGAGTGTGCTTTTAAGTACATTTCTTAAAGATATGTTTATTTGGTAAATTGGAAAAAAATGATTAGTTTCAGTAAATAAATCCGAATAAAAAAGTGCATAAAATTCGCAAAACTCTCAACAGAAATTCAAATCGTGTTGCCTGAAGTGTGAATAAAAAATATAAATTGAATAAAGATTAACTTAAAAGATATGAAAATATTTGAAAATAGAAGCTCATGAAGGTATGTAAGACAATGACTTCCAGATTCCACTTGCAAAATGATTTTAAAAAGTTTCAATAAAGAACATAAAACAGAAGTTATTTGAAATTCATTATAGCAACAGAGCAATTTCTCATTGTATAAAAATAAAAAGATGATAAAAATACAACACAATAAAATATAATTTATTAAATAATTATTATTTTCATACGTTAATAATAAAAATAGAAAAAACTTTAATACATTTTATTTTTCAGTTTTTTATATTGAACCAAACTAAATTTATTAAACGATAATGTTAAATGTCCATGAATTTTGACATTTTCAGCTTCCGTTTTAAGCTTTCAGTCTAAAAGAATTCTTATGCGCCTTAATTTAAATTTTCATTCGAATTGCTGCTTTTTGGGTTATTTAGACTGCGAAAAAATTTAAAACTTTCTTAAGAATCAAATTTGACTTTTATTTTTGTTTAATATTTTCGAATCTGCAAAATACACTTGTTTGGAAGTTTTTCACGTGAGAAATTTTCAGTTAAATCACCGAAATTTTAAAATTATTAAATATTTTGTGTTTGGAAATTCTTTAAGTTATAAATAATTAACGACCGACCGAACAAAGATGAGAAATTAAAACTAAAGCTAAACTTTAACTTCTAGCATTAAATTTTTGTGTGATATAACAACAGATTACCATAAATATAAACATCTTAACTACACCCAATACATTGCAATAACCCACCTTCAATTGCCATATATCATCACTGCCTGATATATGGCAATTGAAGGTAAGAGATTATCATATTTTAAGAAATGCACTTAAATATCTAGCGACAACATAAAACAATTTAATGGTAAAGAAATCATCTTCACTTAATCTCATATTTATTGGTGTTGCCATTTGTTTAGAACATTGATAAAAACTTTTTAACTGCTTCCTTTTATTTTTAATTAAATTGAGTGTGCTTTTAAGTACATTTCTTAAAGATATGTTTATTTGGTAAATTGGAAAAAAATGATTAGTTTCATGAGTTTAATAAATGATTATAGTTTCTTAAAAGTAATTTTTAAATTATTTCCAAATAATTTTTTAATTATATTCTGGTAACATTTCAGAAATTGTTAAATCAAAGAATGAAAAAAATCAGCAATCGATATTTTGTCTGCATGGATCTGCTCTTACAAGTCTTAGAAAAAATAACGATGCTGATGTCAGAGGCGATAAAATTTCATCAAGTTATTACAAGTCAAATACGTCATTTAATAATTTCACTTCTACGCCAATGAAATATTCTTATGGTAATCGCATATTTTTAAAACAAATTTGCTAATTTTTTACAGGTAAATTTAAAAGAAACAGAAAGTTTACATGTTAAAATTAAAGGAAATTTCTAAATGTATTTTTGTATCCAGCAATTTTGAAAAGAATTTAAATCTTTCATTTATTTATTTAAATGTTTTTAAGTTAAGATATTTACTTAAAATATTTATTTTTATTTTTTCAGGTCTTGATGATAATTATTCAGGTAAATAGATGTAGTTAATTCATTTATATTTTATTTATAAACATAATAATAAGTAAGTATTGTTTAAAATTAAGTATATTAAAAAATACATTGTTCGTTTCACGAAAACTAGTTAAATTTAGTAGAATTTGTTTGTTGTAATCACCCTGAAGCTTGCCTATACATATAATAATAATTGGCTAATAACATTGAGTTAAGTCAATTAAATTACAATTAGCCGGTGCTAGATGGTAAAAAATAATTGTGAGGCAAACTTTGCAAATGCATGTTATTTGTACATGAAATTAATAAAGAAAAAATAAAAATTATACTATTGTGCCTTTACAATTTAAAACCTCTTATGTCTTTGCAGCCGTTCACATTTTTTAAAATAAAATATTCATCTTTTAAGAAGGTTTATTATGAAAAATGCCATCAAAGGCCATTGTCTAGCTACATTGTACTACCACCCACCCCTACAATTAGTGTAAATTCTGGTTTTATGCACCTGAAATAAAGCACATGTTAAAACAGTTAATGTATAATTTGAAGTTTTATGAATAATTAATAGTCATTTGTCTATCATTTATATAATTGAAGTAACAAATGTCAGAAATTTAAACTACTGTATTACAAGCAAATAATGGTTAAAAGTATTAAATCTTAAAACACTGTTTAAACTGATAACGGATAAAAATTATCATCAACCATATGTTGACAATGACAGTGTGGAAAGTTAAGTAGAAAAATGTCTCTTTATCCAAAGATATTGATAATTGTAAATAAAGTCTGGTTACTATAAGTGAGCAATTTGTAAATGTGTTTTAACTTAAATGCTTTGGAATTGCTAATTCTACTAGCATTGGATAACTGCTAACAATATCTTAGGTTTACAATAAGTAGATTCTACTGTTTATAAAATGTGAGTACATTGATGTAAAGTGGACTTGCTACAGTCCAAACTCTTCATTGATTTTATCAACTGTTTCTTGTAGAGGATCATTCATTTTGAATGTAAAACTTCTCCATATAGGTTGAATTCTCCAGAGATTATTATTAGTAATGATTATTAGTTATTTGATATTGAGAAATATTATGTTTTATGATTTCAGTTCATTCCTAATGCACACAGAATGCAATAACTTCTTAACATTAATTTCTAATCAGGATGTTTCATTTAAAATATTAAATTCATGAAGTTCTATTATGGTAAAGTCCTATAAAAGCTGTATAAGTAATGAATTTATTACTATTGCTAGAAAAATTATATGAAGATATTGATTTAATATCTATACTTATAGATAACTGTCTTCTTCTAATTGATTTGTATTGATTAATATTACTTTAACACTTATTGTTGCCCTGTACTTTTTTACTATTCACTTTCTTTTACTTCAAATTGATAAAAATTACAACTGTGGTTCAAGTATAACACTTAATCTTTAAATTAAACCTTGTGATATCTGGTAGCCAAGTTTAAAATATTCTTTGCTTTCCTGACCACAGTTTGTATCACTTTGGATATGAGTATTTTTTAATAAATATTTAATATATTGGAAGGATCACTGTAACATTTTATGTCATAATGGTCCTATCTAAATTGAAATATAGCAAATTAAATAAATTGGGTATTCTATTTGTTGTTTTGTTACAAAAACTACAGGAATTTATCTTGATAGCATACCAGTTTTTATTATAATAATTCCTTTATTTTTACTTAAATGTAAAGATAAGATTGTCTATTTAAACAAAGTTTATATTTGATTTAGAATTCATGCAAGTTTTTGTTATTGCAATAAACTGAAATATTTTTTTGGATTATTTTGGTGTAAATTACTCATTTTAAAAGTATCATATGCTTTCTATTACTATAGAGTAAATTAGAAATATTTTTATCTCTGTGTATGTTTTTTTTTCTGTTTAATAGATGATTTCACTACATCAGTAGATCCTATATTGTACAAATAAATTTTAAAAAATAAAGCTATGAAAGTAAATAATCAATAAATGCTATTTAAAAAACAATGAATATGGTTAAGATAAAACTTCAACATTTTAATAAAAATTAAGTACAAAATAACAACTTTTTAAGGTAATGAAATTAATATCATTCTCTGGCAGATCAAATGTATGTTATGAAATATCAAAATAAATGATTTCATAATACACGGTTGGTCTATTTGTTGTTGTCCTTCAACCTAGTAATTGTGAAGGCTATCAACTTTATTCTAGTTTTTTCAAACTTGTTTCCTTTTATTTATTTCAATGATGTATATGTTTACAATAATCTTTTTATTATTATATTTTTAATTGATAGCTGCTGTATGCTATTCATAAATAAGAGTGATGATAATTGTCTTTTATATACAGCTTTTTATTTATAAATTTTGATTTATTAATGTCACTAGAATATATTATTAAAATTTTTTTTAACACTTGCTTCCATACCAAATTTGTTAGTTTAATTTAAATATAGCTAGTTAGTATAATAGCCTAGTTAATTAGGCTCAAGTTAAGTATTTGAAATTTCTAAATAAGTAGAAACTTTGTATTTTAGTATATGTCTAACTCCACTAAAGGGAATTTTTTTCTAGTTTAAAGTACATGCATAGTGTACTAAACAGCACATGGACCATACCAGATACTAACTCCATTTATTGCATTTAGATTTTGTTACACATGACATAACAGTGACGTTTAGTCTAACTGCATATTAAATGAATGACCTACTTTAAAAACACCTAGAGTCATTGAGATTTTGATGCATTTTTGTGAAAACAGTTTGTAATCTGTATTTTGAATATGGGTTACACAAATTTTTGTTCTATTGTATTAATTTGTATTGCTATTTTATTCGTAATATTTTAACTTCTTTTCTTCTGTACTAAATTAAGCAAATGCAGAAATTAAAGATTTATTTTATTATTTGGCTCGATCTATGGAATTAACAACAAACTATTTGTGGAAATCATATTTTTGGCAGAGTTACGCATGGAATTTCCTCAAGTATGAAGAGCTGAGTATTGTGTAGAACAATGTAAACTTTAATCAAATAAGCTGAATTTATTGTCAAACCATTTTGGAAAATGAAATATACAAATGCTATTTAATTTGGACTAAGATTAAGTGATTAAATTATTTAGAATATTCTAGAAGAAAAGATAGTTCTAGAGCAGGACTCTAACCTGCAATTTATGCATATCTTGCAGACATGTTGCCAATTACGGTACCCATACCTTCATATTATATTTGCTTCCTCATCAATTTAAATTTAATACAAGACAACATCTTAATTGCTTGCCTTCCAGTCTAAATTATGTAGAATTTGTATATTTAATTATTCAAAATGTAGTCTGATTATTCGATTAGTAACACGATTCGGGCTTGGTTTCTTGCAGGACAACATAAGCTTATTTATTTATTTATAACTGATTTTAGAATCGACGTTTGCTATTTATGAATATAAGAATCAAAGAATTTAATATCTTCAATTCATTCTTATGATTTATTTTTAGATAATGAAGACTTTCAAGAAAACAAAGAAAACTCTCTTAAAATGGTTGAAAGTACGTCGATTTTCCTGAAAATACTTACAGTAATTAAGAAAGTTACAATGATTGGTTTGTCGAAATTTTACTATTATTGATACCTTATTTTCTTGTTATTTGATTTAAAAAATAATTATTTTTTTTTTTACAGAGAGCATTTTCAAAATTATGAGATGGCTCTGGTTTCACATGTGGAAGTCAATTTATTTAGTTATCTGTTATACTATGTTGTTAGATACGTGGATAATACAGAAGTAAGAACATTTTAAATTTGTTTTGTAATATCTAAAGGAATAAATGATAATCTTTAATCCAACAAATTAATTATAATTAAATAAATATTTACACCGTGAGTGGTAATTTGGACTAAAGGTAGGCAATTAAGTTTTATTCTACATTGTTGGTTAAGAAATGTAGAATAAAAAAAAAAAAGCCAAAATGAACCATTACTAAGTTGAATGTCATGTCTAAATTTGATTGATTATGCACGTTTACAATTAGATTTTTTTAATCGTAATTAAATTAAAGCAAATGTTTGTTGTTTAGTTATAATTAATTGCTAGATTAAAGATTGTTTCTGCAGTTTTGTTTGTAATGATTTAAATATTAATTTCAGATTTTCAAAATTAAGAAGATGGAAGAATTTACTTTTCCTACTTTTTCTGTTATTATTACCTTTATTACTTCTGGGTGAGTTTTTAGTTAATTATAATAAATTAATAATAAAACAGTCTGTGAGACCAGGAATCTAATCCAGGCAGTTAAAAAACCTGGAGATTTTGGGGAGTGGTCTGTCCCAGATATGTGGTTCTCATCCCTCGCCACCTATCTGGTCAAAGTAGATCTGGCTGAACCCATAATAGATACTAAAAGACCCTCTATATGCTCACAGGAATTAATAGGATTTTTAATTAAGGAATTTATTAAGAATAAACTATGAGAATGTTGAATGAATGGTGTCTAGAATATTATTGAATAATAAATATTTTACTGTGGCTATAAATTTTTTTCAGGCTATTTTAATTCTGAAGATGCCGTTTCAAATTCAGCTCGTGATGTAATCGCGCGTCTATCATCCTCATTTGTCAATTTTTCATTCTGGTCTCAAAATTCGATAGGAAATGTAAGAAAATTGATATTATTCAGTTTGTTTTATATTATTAATCAATAATAATTACTTTGAATAATTTTGTCATTAATTTAAACTGTTGAAAAAAACGTTAGATTTTAGCTTAATATATTTTTTTTATGACTTCAAATATAAACATCTCTCAACACCCAATTCATTAGTATAAAACCAAACCAACTATCTTATAAGATTGGGCTATTTCCGTGATTATAATTTAAATTACTAATTAATTTCTCCCTAGAGGGAGGCTCTAGGCACTATCTTGTGTTAAATTTAATAATTATAAAATTATTTAATTAAATTATAATGTTCTGGAAGAAAAGAATTGGCCCGGAGCAGGACTCAAACCCACAACTCCTGCTTGCCACGCAGATGTGTTGCCAATTACACTACATGGACTCATGGTCCAATCTCCTCTTCCAGATATATCAAACTACGATATAACCATCATATGTTACTTACAGTATAATTATAATTATTAAATTTAATACAAGATGGCACCTAACACCTCTCTCTAGGTACAAATTAATTGGTAATTAAAATTATAATTGCTGGAAAATGGCCTGATCTTACACATCTGTTGCGGCTTTAAGCTTCAAATTAGTGACCTTATTTGTATACGATACTCTCCTGTTTTTTACTACCTAATCAAATATAACCATATTAAAAACAGAAATATTAAAGAATTTTTGTACCTAGTGATGTATAGAATGACTGCAAAATCCTTACAATATTGCCCCATGTCTTCTGGTTAGAGGTTATCTTGATGAATTCAGTGAACATTAGATGTGTGGTGTGGCCTTAAGATCCAGACTTAGCAACATTTAATAATTCATATTAGGAAATTTCTGTAGAATTATTAAGGTTTTGCAAGCTAGAATTACTACTAGTCTGATTTATCTAAAATAAAATTATTATTTAATAACATTAAATTTCAAATAATTAGCTTTAAAATTATAAGTAATATATTATATAATATATATGTATGTATTCACTATTTTATTAAATTGATTCTGTAATGCTTCAATTCATGTTTGTTTGCATTTTTCTATAGGAACACGGAGTTATGAAATCATTTTATAATGCACTGCATGTACAAACGATAGGAAGTTTATTATATAATTGGAGTATCCCATTATATGCATTATTTAGTTTTAGAGAGAGAAATTCAGCAGATTATAAAGTCGAAACCAGTATACCAGTTGTTCGTCATACGGTGGAGTTAGATTCTTCTACAACTCATCTAACTGCTGACGAGATAAAAATACTAATACAGGAAGTACTTAAGCAAGAAATTTCAGGGCTTACGCTTCAACAACAAAGCATTGTTTTGACGGAAGTAAAAATCATTTTTGTTTTTACTGAAATTCTTAACAAATAGCATAAAATTTAAAAGTCTTATTTATTTATTTAAGAAAAAAGAAATTAAAGAAAATAATGAGATATTAGAAAAATTACAACTGGAACTTAAGCATATTCTTCATCATTCTAAAGTAAGTGTTTATTTTATAATTTTTAAAGAATGCTATGAATTTACATTATTGTAATTATGTTAATTATTATCCGAGAACATTGTAACTTACATTAAAACACTGAAAAACTGTCCACATTTCACATTTGCCCATTATAATTTCTCAATACATCCACCATATCATATGATACAGTGGATGATGCTTGAATTCTGCCTATTTTCACTGTGGCATTTGTTGTAACTCCTCTTACAGCAACCACAATTCTATGGCTTGTATAGATTATTCACATTGCACAATGACGAGTGATTCCAACTTTGCAAACTGCAGAACACAAAATGCCTTCTCTGTTATGGAGTTGCCATTTTGTTTATGGCACTTCCTACATGTGGTAGATATGATGATGATTGAATGCAGATGGAAGAGGAAACTCCAATGGTTACTCTATCAATTGATATATGTTGCATACTTTTCAGATAATTAACATAATTACAGTAACTTAAAATGGTAGCATTCATTTTGGAAATATCCTGTATATATACATAAATTTTATTCTTAAAGGGTGTAGCAGTTGACATTGCAGAGATGAAAAATACAATTGGCTTTCAAGAAAATAGGTATTATATTTTATTATAAATATAATAATTTAACTATTTGTGTTTTACTGCATATATTTCATTATGAATAGGAATGAAGAGACAAATGGAAGACTTAACGTCATTGAAAATAAATTGGAAGAGGTGGAGAGAAAAATTCACACTGTAGAAGGCCTTTTAGTTGCAATGAGAAATTGTTGTCGCAACCAATCTGATTACATGGCCATGGCAGAAAAGCAGATAGCGGCTATGCTGTTGGAGGTTTGTTGATAATTTTATTTTTAAATAGTCACATTGCACTTATTTACTACAATATTTCCAATGCAGATTATGAACAGTGATCATCAAGATAAATCTTCACCATTTGCCAACTTTGGTAATTGGCTGAAGTCTAGATTTGTAGGAAAAGAAGAATTACGAAATTATGTCGATAGTGTTGCCGACAGAGTTGCAACGGATGTATCTGGTTCGCTAAAAGAGAGGGCTGAAGTCGTCGCCAAGGCTGCCGCAGCAGCTATAGTAGCAGAATCGGTTTCTACCATGAAAACGTCCATTTACAATAGCCAAGAACATACCATTTTGTCAAATGATACAAAAACTTGCGCATCGGAAGAAAAAGTAAAAAAGATTGTCAAAGAGGCTATACTTTTATATGATGCCGACAAAACTGGGTTGGTAGATTATGCACTAGAATCTTCAGGTATGTACTGTGTTGTATTTTCTTGGCTATTATTTCATATATAAGGTGTCTTCAAAAAGTTAAAACTTGTTAGAAAGGAACTTTTTTTTTATTTCATTTGCATTCAAATCATCACAACTTGTACAAGATAAACTTTTAAAGCTTCTTTTTTTAACTTTGAGTAAAGAAAATGTTACAAGCTGGCTCAGGAGAATCGAATGGTTAGCAGTTCCATGTTTTGTTATGTAGCCATTGCAATTGTTACTCGTGCATGGTTTGGCATGGTTATAGTGTTTGGTTTTTCTTTAGATGTTTTAATAGGTTGTTTTGGATGAATTTCTTCATGTAATCACTCATAAAATGTTAAGATAGACACATTGGTTGATTGATCTTCGGGAAGGAATTCAATGCAATTTGCGCCAAAAAGGCTGTCAATAAATTGTAATGTTGGTCTTTCTGTTCCTGCACGTTTTTGGTCTAGACTCATCTTTCACAATCCCAATTTTGGAAAGAAGATTTATTGTGATGTACAATTGTTGGTTTTTTTCCTAATTTAATGCAAAATTTGATATGCATTTTCAATTTTCTTAAATCTGTCTTGACAAATTTTGGAGAAGTTTTGCTACTTGATCCTTTATAAAATTAAAACTTGTGAAACTGATTGCATGTAAATCATAAAATTGTTTATCGTTTACAGAGTTAGATAGATGAAAGTCAAGACTAGATAGAGAAGTCTTAGTGGCAGGAGGTCTCAATTAACTTTATATGAATTTCCGGTTTGCACTAGATGTCATGTTATTTCAATTCAAAAATGTATCCTTGAACAGAGTCAGATAAATGACTAGCACAGCACTTTTGCTAACAGGAAAAGTGATATACAGGGCAAGACACTACTAAAAAATTGTGATGAAAAATTGCAGCCTGGCATTGTGACAATGTCCCAATAAACAATTGCTCATTTGATTTTTAGATTTTCACTAAAAGTATATCAAATTTTACCAATAATTTGTAATTCTAAAAATGTTGCATAATAAGATAATTTAAATTATGATACAATGTTTAATTAAATAACTGTAAAATCAATTATATCAAATGCAAATACATATTTAATTAAATATTTTTATAAAAAACAATTCTTGCATCTTGCCATTAGAAGTGCATATTATTGTAGGAAAGAGCTAACTTGTTTGATACTAAGTTGGGACAGTAAAGGAGAATGCATGCATGCAGCACAGAAAGGAGGAGGCACTGCATGCAAATGCTACAAAAGTGGGACCTGTGTCTACTTTCAACAGACCACTGGGCGGTGCCACAACAAATGGTGATTGTTGCTGCAAACTTGTAGTGTTTTCTCGACTCGCTGCATATGCATCTGCCTTAAGGAGGATGTACTGATAATTCTGTAATTTTAAGAGGGGTGTTTTTACATATCCTTTATGGATGTAGCAAGATAGCAAGGAATGGGCAATTTTCACAGATGAGCATAACACATCCAGATTTGTAAAAATTTCTGAACTGCTTCAGAATTAAATTCAGTGGTGATCAGTGCCACTCTGAATTACCTGTCTTGGCCATCCCACTAGTCAATAAGGGAGAACCTGTTTATTCTTCACAAATATTGAACTAGTGATTTTTAGTAATTGATTTCAAAGTATTGATTATGCTGTTTGAATTTTTTTTTTGTTCTTTTAATCCTAAATATTTTAGGTGGAAGTATATTTAGCACAAGATGTTCCGAAACATATCACACTGGTACGGCACAGATAACGGTTTTTGGAATTCCTGTGTGGTATAGAACCAATTCTCCTCGAACAGTAATTCAGGTAAGTGTGTTTTTTATTGTACAGTTTTATTACCATTTATTTTTGAGTAATCCAAAGCATTTTTCTTTTTTTTTTTCTTTGTTTTTAACAGCCAGATGTGCATCCTGGACAATGTTGGGCTTTCAAAGGAACTCAAGGCTATCTTGTGATAAAATTATCAGTTCCCATACGTCCCACAGCCTTCTCGATCGAGCACATACCCAAACAGTTATCGTTAACGGGTTCTATAGACAGTGCACCAAAAGATTTTTCAGTTTATGTAAGGTTCAGACATGACTCTAAATTTTTTAAAAATTAAATTGTTTTCTAAATGGGAAAATTTCTTTAATTAGGGTTTAAAAACAGAAATGGATCTGGACGGAAAATTATTGGGAACGTTCACCTACAACAAAGATGGCGATCCTCTTCAATACTTTTATGTAAAGGTAAGATTTTTAAAATTAAAATATCGTAAAGTATAAGTAATGGTAGGCCCACATAATTTTAAATCTGCCTATTTGTCTATTTTCTTTGCCTATTTATGTAATACTGTATGTGTGCTTTTGATATACATTGGAGTAATTAATTTTTATACTGCTTACTATATTAATGGATGTTTAGATTTACTTCTTTTTTAAAAGAGCAAGTTAGCCAATAAATGAAACTTTATTTTGTATTTGTTCTCAAGTTTTTCTCAGTATTTGAGAAAATTATTTAATTTTGTAATGGGTCATCTGCAAAGTTACTTATTACAGAATTAAGAGGAGGCATTTCCTTATGGGATAACGGTAATCTTTTTTAGACATTGCGGCAAATTATAAATTGAAGTTGTCAAATTAAGAATTTTTCTACAGTATAATGTCATTTGCAAAACCTGTTAGAGAATAAAATTCACCAATATATTTATTATATATCATAAGATGTGCCATAAGTTCTCAATCTAGTGAGAAAGGGCAATGGAAATAAACCAAATAACGGTTATTTTTCAATATAATCAATTCTTGATTTCATTGCACTTATGTTTAAAAAGCAAGTTATAAAACTGTTCTGAAGATTTTTAAACTGGTCCATTACAACAGTCTGTGGCACTTCATCACTGTCAAAATGTCTTTCTCAGAGCTTTTTTTAAATCTGGGAACAAAAAACTGTCTGATGGGTCAAGATCTGGACTGTAAAGGATGATTGAGCTTGATGCGGTGTGGATAGGTGCATTGTTATGCAACAAGTGTACTCCTCTTGTTAATTTTCCTTGCTTGCTTATCTTTGCAGGCAACTGATGTAATAACATTGAATAATATTTTGCAATTACAATAGTGTTTCTTTAAAGTTCACCACCAATATGCTTTCAGTTTCAAAAAAACCAGTAGTCATAATGTTTTTGGTTGATGATGACACTTTAGTCTTTTTTTGGGAGGGATCCCCAAAAAAGGCTAAAGTACTTTGCCACTCCATTGATTCCATTTTGGAAAAGGGGTCATAATAAAGGACCACAGTTTTGTCTCCTATAACAATAATTTCAAAAAATCAACTCCATTCACTTCATAAAGGTCCAAAATCAACTGTGCACTTTCTACATGCTGCTGCTGTTGGACAGAAGAAAGAAGTTTAGGAATCCATCTTGTACTGTCTTTGCTCATGCCTAGATGCTCAAGAAATATAAATCGAATGCTCTTATACGTTGGTCATTGTTGCTATATCTTTCACTTTCAATTGGCAATCCAAAAAAACTGGTTCCTCCACCACATCAATTTTATTCCAAGGTTATCATATTTACTAGGAGACCAGATCTTGTGTCATCTTCAAGGGATTCTCGTCCTAATCAAAAATGTTTAACCCATTCTTTCACAGTGGTATATGAAGGCAGAAGCTTCTCCACATACTTAATCTAGACATTGCTCGATTTCATAGGTGCTATTCCATCTTTTAAGAAACTTGATGACTACTTGATACTTTAAAATTTGCTGCCATGTCACATAAAGAAATCCACTATAAATCAATTTTTAGTACTACAGCCACAAAATTTGCATCAAACACTAATAAGACATTATATTTTATATATATATTTACCATGACATATCTTTCACTCATGGCCCTTCCTTCATATTGTTATATCTTCTCTTACAAATAGCCGATCTATTGTTATTGCTACACTTTAAATATGGATTATGTCTGGTGAAAGTTTATTCAAATCATAAAAATCCCATCTGTGCCTCCTGCTCGCTCCTTCACTCTATCTTTACACCTCTTGATCCTTCCTCAAATTTTAATTGTAACGCGATCTTAACATGGTAAATTCAAATATATTTAATTAAATATTTCAGGATCCCGAACCGGAAGTGTATCCCATTGTCGAACTGCGCATTCTTAGCAACCACGGTCACATGGACTACACGTGCCTGTACCGATTCAGAGTGCACGGGAAACAACAGTAGAAAAACCACCCCCGGAACTAAAACCGCTACCTCTAGAGGAGATAAAAATCTGTGATCAAGCTAACTAGTCACTACGAATGTCATAAAGTATCATAGCTGCATCGACTGTGAGCATTTTCTTTTGCAACTAAATCTCATATCATAGATGTGAATCAAAATATCATTGGTCACACATACAATTTCAATTTCATCTATTTTTTTAAAGAAAATTTATATTTAAAAAAAAAATAATTCTATTTATTATAAAATTGGATCGAACGACAGACGAGGAAAGATTCTGCTTCATATTTGTATAGTCATTATTTTTATCGAAAATTTCTCATAATTTTGTGTGAAAACACATTTGTATTATTATTATTCGTCCTACGTGTATTTTAAACAAATTTCCTTTAAAATATCCAAATTTTAGCCTTGTGTTAAGTTCACGTTAATTTATTTATACAGAAAATAGAGTATTAGATAATATATTATTGTACTGTACTTATATATATTTTTTTTCTTTACTAACAGTTTTTTTTTATTTTGGAGATTCTTACTTCTCTGTAATTTCTTGCCATTACTATTCATAGCATATATGTATAAATTAATACTGTTTAAGTAATAATAATAATTTGTAAATATGTTGTTTCTGATATTAAAGAATTTTAATGTAAATATCAAATAATTTATACTTGCAGATTTTATTGATGATAAATTTTTGCTTACAAACATCTTTTTGCCGATGTGGTCTAAAACTTGACCTTTGATATGTTCTGGGCGATAGCAAATATGAAAATATCTTTGATGATTTTATTTATAGTTAGAATTCTCTCAATATTAATACTTGAAAATACAAAAATTGTGTTAGTGTTTTTGCAGGGCGATCAATTGAGACAATCTAGCACAGTATCGAATAGCATTTGTATCCACACACAGACAAACAAGATGACAATGCACTGATTCTGTTTAAATGAGGTAATGTCGACCTATACAAATTTGCTAACATGCAAAAAATCATCAAAATATAAATGTTTGATGATAACATCATCATTCAAAACCATTTTAACTATCTTCAGATGACAGAAAAGTAAACAAACACACAAAAATTGCTTTGGAATTAATTTGAAACAAATGAGGGGTAGACAGTTTAAAGTTTTCTGAGTTTAAAAAATTTTATATTGTTCTCTCTACAATTTCTAGCAAATTTTTACAACTAAATAAAGGACTTGCAACAAGTTAAGTGGCACAATAAAAACTATATGGAAAAAAACAGTTTAATTTGGTTTCACCCATTTATTTCTGCAAAATAAAACGGATGTACGGTTTAATTGAAATCAAACTATTACAGAATTTTTGAAGAAACATTAAATCTAAGAAATGACCCAGCACTGACTAATTCAAGCGAAACATTTGCTGAGTAATAAAGCCGAACTCTTTCCAATTAATCTATTAATTGAATTCCTACAACAGTTTCAACAATTTGACTCCCTGATAGATAAAAATAGCAAACAATTATCATGAAAACACCTAATTTTTAATACAGTGGAACCTCGGTATACGACCTTAATCCGTTCCCGATGTTTGGACTTATACCGAATAGGACGTATACCAAACCAACCTTTCCCATAAGAAGTAATGTAAAAATGATTAATCCGTTCTCAATTAAAAAAAAAAGTGGCTGGCTTTAAACACCTCGCTTTCCTGGCTTGTTCCTGCTTGATTTTTCATGAGATCAGCATGTATCTTTTTAGCTTTCTCGCAAATAATTGCTTTTGATACGCTGTCGCCAGCACACTGTTTTTCAGTTATACAAAGTAAAAGCAATTTCTCAACACGATCTAATGTCTTCGATCTATGTTTAGAAATTGACTTAACCCCTTTCGCAACGTTAGCAAATTTAATAATGTCTTTATTTTTCACGATTGTCGGTATCGTCGTTCTCGGAATACGGTATGCAACAGTTAAATCTCAAACACTTGTGTCACCTTCATATTTCTCAACAATCTCTTTTTTTCAGTTTCATTGTGATTTTAGTCATTTTTTTTATTTTTCTGTTGCCTTTTTGCAATTCATGATTAATAAAAATAACATTTTACTTACAAATTAAAATAAAAAGAAATTTAACAAAGTTAAAACTGTGGCACCGCGAACGTCTAGTCTGGTATAATATACCGATAGTGCTACTTGTTCATAGATGGCGCGTATAATTGAATTAAGTCGTATACCGAGCAAAATTTGTTTCGTCCAAACAGGACGTATTCTAAAGCAGACGTATACCGAGGTACCACTGTAATTCTTTTGATTGAAATTAGCCTGGATCATTTGTTCTAGACCGTGGATCGGCAATCTTTTCGTTACTAAGGATGCAAGAAAAATTTTAAAAATCATTGACAGTGCATTTTATTAAAGTATATATATTTGAACTTGTGTGACTATGGTTCTAGATGGGTGCATCTGAAATGCGCCACAGACACCATGGCACCTGTGGGCATTACATTGCCGATCCCTGTTCTAGAGAATGAAAATAATCTTTAGATAAAAAGTAAACTCCATTTAGCAATTTAAGTATTTAAATCTCCGATCTCAAACCTTTGCTCTGTCCAATTCTTTTTGGTTTCCTTCCGTTATAGATGCCAACATGTGGTGGTCTGCTAAGGGAATGTCTCCCAAGAGGATATTCTCTAGAAAAAATTTATTATAACAATAATAATTTATGTCAGTGTTGTTTAATTAATTAGTCTGTTGGTAAGTCTTAACATTTTTATCTGCAGGCACTAAGAGTGCCTTTTAAACATATACCCATCATATGTTAGGCCAAATCCATAAGGGGAGGCCTGTATCCATGAGAGACTTTATTGGAACAAACTGCACTCGTCCTTAGACGGTTTTCTTCTATTACATAATTGACACTTGATGTAAGCAGAGTAATTGTCAGATATCACCCATGTTGTAATTTACTATGGGGTAAACTTAATCAATCCATTTGAATGTTCTCTGAAGATCAATAAATTCTGCATTGTTTCCTTCTACAAGGACGACAAATCAATCCATTCGATATAAAAGCCCTCTTTGGCCGACAAGAGCTGGTATTGCTCGCTTCTGTCATGAAAACCCCCTACAACTAAGTGTTTTGCTTCAGTGCAATGTATGTAAAAAATATTAGTCTTTTGACAATCCAGATAAACAAATTTTCACCCAAAAGCGCAGGCAGTGTGGACACAGTTGAGAAAAAGCACCGTGAGAAACAGCCTGCTCTCAATCTCGACACGAGAACATTTGGAAACTCCATTAACCAGTATGGACAGATTTTACATTTTCTCCCTAAATTTAGAGAGAAAACCTCTAAGTTGGCATCATTGACAAAAACGCCCTACATCTTCCACCCAAAGACGAAGACAATTGGTCAGAATAGCAGAAGAGTTTTCTGGTATTGTTAATTAGCTCAACAGGTCTGTAATTTAAAAGTAAATCTAGCTGAGTCTTGGCCTCCATGCAAAGGTCCACCGACCTTTCGTATGATGATACCGGTAGATGGTGTATTCGTGAAAAGGTAGAGTCGTGTATAATTAGGTAAAATTGCAACTCTGAATGACACAGGTGACACCTGTTAAACACGCGCTAGGTTCAGCGGAGTGACTTCCAATTACACTCCAGGAACAATCCCTCCGAAATCAGTATGTTTCTCGTGAACGGTCGCAGACCAATGGTTCTTTTGACTGCTTTGCTCCCATGGGTATGGTCTACACGCTACAGCATGGTTGAAGTCCCAACCCGTGTCATTCAAGTTTCGATGGAGGGGTGGACGGAGTAGTGAAGTGAACCCGAAAAACGGCTGATTAACAATATTTGAAAAATAATAGATTAATGTTTACTCGTGCAAAATCCGAACAAATAATAAACATCGAATCCGGACCCCGAAGATGTAAGTACTGTACGACACGCTGCCACTCAGATCGATCCAGCAAAATCCTGCGGATGATTAATTTTCTAGCGTTTTGGAGGTGGTGGTTTCGTGTTAAGCGTGCAAAGTGCAACAAATTTTGACATTTAAGTGACGATTTTCTTGAAAAATAGAGCTAATTTAGATTCTATATGGTCAGGCAATTTGCCCAGGGGGATACTCTCGAGAGATCGCCCCCTACCAGAAACTGACCCCCTATTTAAACGTTATTAACTTGAAGAAAACTCGGAAAACGCCACGTGGCCGGTCCGTCAGCCAGGTGCGAACCCACGACCATTCGAGATTATCCATTCGGCCAATGGTGGACGAGATAGAATTTTGAAGACACGAGCTAAAAGTACAGAATATAGTTTTTTTTTTTTTTAATTATGATTGGGCAGGGCATTTAATGTAAAGATTTCCTATTTTTTGTGACAAGAGCAACGGCAATTTAACTTTCATTAAAACATATTTAACAGTAAAACGCTGACGTTTTCTTGATTTTAATCTATACAAATAACATTATCATTTGACCTATGTACTCGGTAAACTTCTCAATTGCAAGAAAAAATCTTCAATCGTTTAAACGGCATTTTTCGAACGTGCAGAGGAGCAACATGAAGGCATTGTCGATTTTCCTCCTCTTTGCCACTCTATACGCAAGTAAGTATTAAAAAAAATCAATTCAAGCCCTCGAGGAATTGCTTAACAATGACGTAATTAAAATAAATGTGTTATTTAGTACAATGCGCACCCAGTCGACACAAGAGAAGCCTTTTTGCCATGTGGCATATGGTAAAAAATGAAACTGGAAAATATCCCGGAGAATTTCTTCCGTACGGAAAATACTGTGGACTCGGAGGAGAAGGAAAGCCGGTCGATAGAATAGATAAGTAAGTAATCTTGTGTCGCTTCTATTGTTAAAAACACTTGAAAATAATTATGTTCTTGTATTTAGATGCTGTAAAACCCACGATGAATGTTATACTTCCGCTTATAGTAACGAATGCAAACATGATCCCGGACAAGTTTACGTTGTAAAATACAAATGGTATAAAAAAAAGAAGGGCGTAAGATGCGGTAAGTAATCGAAAAATATCAAAATTTCATGGGTTTAATGATTGATATAATGTTACAATTGATACGAAGCGGCCATTTTTAGTCAACACTAGCGGATAAAACCGCCGAACACTAACAATTTGTCGCGGAATCGTGCCTGACCACGTGAAATTTTTCGAGTTTTTATTTAAATTAAAAGTCTTGCTGGGAGGCACCATCCTTTAGCAGATTGCGTTGCTTTATCCAATCGATCCGATCCATTTTTAGCCCATTGCAGGACATTAGCCAAATCTTCAGTTATTAGAGACAAGTTACAGCTATTTACAGATTTAATCTAGTTAAATATGAGAAGAAAGATAGAGAAATGCAAGAGAATGATGAATCGGTGAGAATGAATGGGAAGGAAAACACCAGAAATTCAGATGATTCGTGTAATCTCTTGTAGGAATTAATTTTAGGTCTTTCATCCATCCTTATAATCATTTACGATTAGTCTTTTGTTTAGATCACAAAATCAATGGCATCACGAATGATACAGAATGAAATTCCGAATCGGACTATGAAGTGTTAGTTTGTTTATTGAAGAGATCGATGCTATTAAATTTTGGTGGATAAAAGGCCGAGGGGTGGGGAGATAATGGGGGTCGTGTGTATCTCCAGTAGGGTCGGACTTAATGAAGATTTTACTCGTTATTAGCATTTACAATTTTTTATAAAACGTCTCTCTACCCTCAAAATTAAACTTTTTGCCATTTTATAATAAATTAATAATATAAAATATAGTAACAGATGGCGCCAAAGACAATTTTAACTTTTTGCCAGGAAAGTTATGCAACTCGTTGCTGGAATTTTTTTTAACAGTAAAAAAAGTTTTCAATACATTCACTTAAAGAAATAAAATAATTTGATTTGTTATTTTCAGGTAAAAATCCCAACCCGTGTGCAGCTAAAGTATGCGACTGCGACCAAAAACTTGTAGTGTGTTTCCATCGATTCATGGACGAATACAATCCGAAATATCATCATAGACTTTACTTATCTTTTCTGCCCCAATTCAAGAGTGCATTGAAGACAAATTCTCTCAGATCGCTTCTAGAAGCTGGAATATGATTATATTTTTCTAATAATGATAATTCCTAATGCTAAAGTATGTTAATAAAGTTTGTGTGTATCAATAAATGCAGCATAAAGCAAAGGTTGTACTTTTATTGTGTGTAGAAATTTTGTATGCACCTGACCAATGGCTGGACACGTTAAATTTTTCTAGTCTTTCTTCACATATTTTTTTTTTTTATTTTTAACTCTCCGCCCTGTGGAACTCTTAGCAAGTCCATTATGGTTTTGGCTGGGTGGTAGGGATGGGGCTCGATCCGACCACCCCTCTGAATAATTCCTGGGGATTTATAGACCCATCCGGATTCGAACTTGGGTCCTCCAGAATGGTAGGCTCTGGGGGACCTGGGTGGTCAAGAGCCTGACTACTCGGCCATCTAACATCTAAACGGGCAAGTTTTCCATTAAAAAATTCTCCCTTGACAGTGACCAAGTGTGGTATTGCCTTAACTAGGTCTAGCCCACAGTTATCACTGCAATTCACAATGTGACATGTAGGCAATCTGCAAGGGACACCTCTCAAGAGGATTTTCCATGGGAAACTAGTCCCTACATAGGTAAAAAAAACACACGAAAAAACGTGAAAAAACACAGAAAATTCCACGTGACCAGGCCATTTTGTTCGAGCACAAATCTATGCCCAACTACAGACTCTTTTGTGTAGAACACCTCGAATCCATTAGATTATAGTACAATAAAATTATGAATTCTCAAAAATATGAAGTTTTAATAATGTCAAAGTAGCACCCGCAATGTGGAAACTGTAAAAACATATAAATTTCTGTTGCTTTATTCACTTAATTGATTATAACTGCACAACTCTGAGAAGTTCTTTGAATCCTTTAGGCTCACAACTGGCTGATCAAAAATCTGTAATGGGACCAACTCAAAATGAATCAAAGTTAAATAGCATATAGCCCATAATATGTTGAGTGTCTTGCAACAACAAAGCAGACACAATTGGCATAACAGCAGCAGACATATACATGCACCATAATATTTTCAGAGACAAGCACAATAAGAGACAGAGTCTGACATATCCAGACATACCAACCCCAAATATTCTTGGGGTTTTTTTCAACCCGTCTGAATTTGATCTTAAGATCTTAACCATACGAAACTAAACCAAAAGAAACCTCAAATGAAATAAACCAGCAACAAATTTCTCAACTTTCCCAGCGATATTTAAAATTTTGGTGGTGCTATCTGTTGTTATACTGTATTAAAAAACTTTTCATATTTTTAATTATAAAATGGCAAAAAGTTTAATTTTTAGTGTAGGGATGAATTTTATAAAAAATATTGTTAATAATCAGTAAAATTATCATTAAGTCCGACCCTACATGGAGATACACAACCTCCATTATCCACCCACCCCTCGACCATTAACCACCAAAATTTAATAGCATCGATCCTCCTAATAGACAAACCTCCTTGAAAATTTCAGAAACTTTCGACAAAACCAACGGGAGTTATTAAGCTTCAAACAGGATGAACAAAATTGTGCCCCCCACAGACAGACAACAGCTTTTTGTATTAGTAATACACAGTAGGATCCAAAATTTCAGACTTGTTGTATTGTTCCTCGCCTTGAGTTGTTTAAAACATCAATTCACAATAACCTTAAAACTAATTTTCTTAGGCAACGATATACTTTTTCCAGTACTTGTACAGCTCTGGAAACATTGCTGAAAGCCATCTTTTGCATTATCCATAATGCCTTCTGCAATGCTGCTTTTTCAGTGAAATCCCAATCTAATGTTCCCACATCTAACAGTTGGTCCAATCAATCCCCACATAAACCCATGCTATTAATTTCTCAATGTAACACTCCTGCATCTAGCATTTTCCCCGTCTAACAATAACTCATGCTAGTCATAGAAGCATAATTCCACAGCAATCGCCCCTCCTTATCTCATATATTTTTTTCCAATCTTTGATGACAGTACTATATAAAATGATTTGTTGCAGCTGCACTCTTGCAACTCTTCAGAGTTTCCTCCTCACCATGGAGTAAAGTGACTGGAGACAACAGGGAAAAGAAGTGAAGAGTTGCATGACAAACAGGTCTCTCTGTTTTAAATGAAATAAATTTAAAAAATATGATAAAAAAATTGCAGCATGGTACTGTGACAATGTCACAATAAATAATTACTTGTTATCACTCAATTCCAACAAGGCTAAATAGGGGTTCAATTATGGAAGTCATGAACAAATGCGGCACATCTGTAAAACATGGTAAGAATAAAAAGAAGTCACCAATGGATAAAATGGAATAGTTGCAGCATGTTTGCAGAGCACTCATACTTGTGAATAGAGCTGAAGTTGGTTGTGCTCAGAGAAAATACAGAAATTGCTGCTAGACTTGAAATACACCAATTTGCATCATCAAATGGCTAGATATACAGGTTTAATAGAAGGCTTGTGTTGAGGAAGGCTGAATTTTGTTTCTTATCTACAACTTGGAAGTGGGAATCATCTGTAGATTCAAGGTAATGTACTGATAAATGTTGGTGCAAAAGCCCATATTTCCATGTTGTGATACAAAATTAAAGATCAGTATACTGCAAGTAATGCATTGCCATCACATCTTAGGATGCCGTTGAGGCATCAACAATCGCAAATTACTTAAAGACTGGCTTTCATGAGGATCAGCATCCACTGGTTTACCTAAAGGCTATGGAATATGCACCAATTTCATATTCCATAGTTGAGGTAAACCGGTGGATGCTGATCTTCATGCAGAAAGTGTAATTGATGATGATTGGCACAGTATCGCACCCACAGATGCTTACAATAGAACACCCCTGAATTTCAATGAATATGTGGTTTGCAATGACAATATTGCAATGTATAGTTTATTGACAGTAGATGAACTTTATGCCGAGGAAGCAAGCACAAATGGTACAAATGTTCAGACAGTAGAACTTGGTGATGTTTCTGGTGACAATGAAGGATCTGAGCGCACATCTAGTATTTCTGAACCACTAACAGTTCTGCAGACCCTCAAGTCGTACACTTTTGCCACATATGCCAGTGAGATGGCATGCATACCAAGTTGCAGTGATTGGAGAAAGGTCTCCTTGAAAACATTTCCATGACACAAAGTCCAATATAAAATGACAGATTTCTTCGTGTACAATAAGCAATTCTGTGGCTCTGTTTATTGTATTACACAGTCTTGGAATTAAGTTCTTATATGAAATCTTTCTGTATCTTTACTGTTCAGATTCAATTATGGCAGTTCCTCAATTTACCATTTCCTGCCTCTAAAGTTTATTTTTCCCAGTCAGAAAACATTAGATTAGAGTTTTACTGCACCTCATTTTACAGCTCAAAACATCATCCCTGCAGATCTGGACATTTTATGTTGCTTGCATGAGTCCATCCATTATAAATGGCCTGAAATGTGGCAAAATGGACAATGATACTTTCTCCATGACATTACACCTACACATTGTTCCATAACGGTCAGTGTCTTACCAGAAATGATACTAATGTGCTCCCATACCCTGGATCCAACATCATCTGCAGGGATGTTGTTTTGAATCATCAAATAAGTTAAAATGCAGTATCTCAGGAGGCATTATAGGTGGCTGCAAAAACTGGCTTACAGTAATACTTCCAGAAACTGTATAAGTGATGGCAAAGTGTATTATTGTCACCTAAGGAAATGTTTTGAAGGTGGCTGTGTGCAAACTGTTCGAGGCAAAAACTTTGGATCCTGCTATATATATAATTAATTGAATGTATTAAATTATTGGTTTTTTAAAATAACTAACTAGTAGATATATTTTTGATTGAAAGAAGAATGTCCAAAATCTTAAAAGTTATTTAATTATTAATTTTTTAAAACAATAAATTGCCACTAAAAATATAAACTTGCTACCACGAATTGGCCAAAAATTTGAATGCACTATTGATTAGATTGATTGAATAGTGCATTTATTAACAACACTACTCTAAAGAAATCACTAAAACTAGAAGTGTTTATACTAAATAAATATTACAATCAATATATACAGTTTTATTTTACACTAGAAGTTTACCAAAATTATCTAATCAACTTAATATCAACTAGTAGATTCTGGTAGAGCTGGACTGCTGGCAATATCTGTTTCTTTTTGATTTAAGGTGACAAGTTCTTTACTGGGAGCTTTCAAAGTAAACGTTATTGGTAAACGTTCGAGGATGGGATTTGTTTTTTGTAAAATTCGAATCCAAGATAGCAAAGAATCCCTGCTGGATGTTCCCGTTGCACAGCATGCAAATATAACTCTATCTTCTTGTTCATGAATTGAGGGCAGCGGTGCTACTTTCTTAGCAGGAGGAGTAAATATTCCAACAGTTAAATTTGATACATCTATTATATGTAAGATACAGGAAAAATTAATTAAAATGCAAAACAAATTTATCAAATTCTACTTAGGCATACATTAACTTTTGGACATTTGACTTTCAATTTATTCTGTTGTTTTTATTTTAATACCCCTAAATTATTATATGCATACCAAATTTAGACTTTCACATATTTTTTGGCTTATAAACAAAAATTTCAAGCTATCATACAGTAGCATTTAGTGCTACTGTATGATAGCTTGGTAACAACAAAATCATTGTGAGAATTAAATTATAATTATTTCCTTTTAATGTTTTATACATTTTACCATTTTGACTAAAAATGTAATACTTTTCTACATTAATAAAAGACTTTGTTTCCTTTTAGCCCTCTACAATTTGTAACTCTGCTCAATTTTTAAACATTTGATTTTATTATGCATTTTTAGGAACACGTTATGTCCGAAAGTCAAGTATTGCCTATACTTTCTAAATTTTAAAATGACGGAATAAATATACCATCAATATCAACCTCATCTTCGGGAATTGGTTTTGGATCTGCCGATAAAATAAAATAAGAAATTGAAACTTTCCTTAACCAAATAATATAAGGACCTTCGACGATAACAGGTTGTGTCAATGGATGTTCTCTTAATAGCTTTTGCTGTTCTGGACTTTGTCCACTAATTATCCATGTTTTGTCCAGAGACTCCTTAACGTCACTCGTCTAAAAATACAGGAAATTTAAAATTCATCGTACTAAATTTATTGTAAACTGCAAAAATTTTAACTCACATTATAAACACTAATGACGTTCCTGAGATCAACACATATTCTTTCTATAGCTAATTTGGCTAATTCAGAGACGTCATTGGGTAACGGTTTAGGAAGAGGAAATGGACTGAGATTTCTAAATTTTGGAAGCCAGTAAGCCATGCGAGCAAACTTGCGGTGAACGAAACTGTATTTACCAAAAGTATTATAAATCATATCTTGAATTTCTTTATCGGGCATTACACCTTAAAACAAAATAAATATTTATTTAAATTTATATTACATATTTTAAAATATAAAATCACTTACCAAACCTTTCCATTTGATCCAATAAATCTATTGCACATTGCTGATGTTTTGGAAAATGCATAAATTCTGTTTGGAAGATATTTTGTGCAACATATTTTCCTTTTGGAAAAATATCTAATAGTTTCTTATAGACTTCAAGATCATCTTCAACGCCATATTCTTCCATATGTTTAAGGGCAGCATGGATGAATTCGACATGACCTCTCCTTCCTTTATCCCTTTCGCAGTATGTATCTACAGTTATTAAAAATGCTCGTTTATCGGGGTTTTCGATTTTTTGAAAAATACGCTCTTTCAATCGTACAGCTTTCTCATCCGGGCCATAATCTCTATTGAAAGCAAAGTTTCGGATTGAAAATAAATATAAATTTCGACAATGATTTTGATGCACGACATTCTTTGAGCAAATGTAAGTCCTGTAGAACGAGCCAATTAAAAAATGTGAAGACCTGATGTAAAATAAATTCATTCCTATAAAATACAAAAAAAATTTTTTTTAATAAATCGTAACAAGACAACTTTTATATTTTAATAAAAATTAAGACAAAATCAGTAATCTTTTATTTACTTTCAGTCCCAAAAATAGATGAAGAACTAAAATAGATGAGGTCCATTTAGCCTCCATCACTTATTTGGAAACATCCCATTAATTGTTTTTAAATGGGATATTTAATTCGGTATTTAAATTGAATTTTTATCATCAACTGTTGGGACAAGTAGCCTACAAAGTAAGAACAGTACTGCTATATTATAGTTCTCGAGCCTGGAGTGAAAGTAAATATAAGATGACCAATTTTGTCATTTAATTAATACAAAAAATTTTACTATTTTATATAATGCAATCTAATCAATAGGTATTATACTTAAAAACATATACAGTTGTCCCTCTATAGTCAGACGTTTTTTAATCCGACATGCTCAGTAGTCCGACGCACCTCCCGTCAAGGTACCCGTCCCCGTTACGTGTCTGCGATGTGAATCTCCCCATCCAATTTTTACACGATGACACACATTTCGTGTGTTTTATGTGAGCAGTTCTGTTCGAACAGTTGGAGTAGAGAATATTGTAAGTTACTGCTAGCAAAACAATGCGAAATATGTAATTATTTTCGGTAATCCGGACACTTTTGGTAATCTGACACACCTTTGGTCCCATACCTGTCGGATTATCAAGGGACAACTGTATTTTAAACTAAATACTGCAAACTTTTGAAATTATTATTCTAGCATTAATGCTATTTCGTAATTTATCTTCAGAAAATATTCATTAAGTGCTAAATTAATTAATAAAACAATGCCGAAAATTTACATTTTCATTTTAAAATTTCCAAATGCATTATAAGTTACATAGAGCTCGTACGACACGAAAAAGCAAAGAGAATCAAATACCTTTGACAATCTCGTTACTTTGGATAAGAGAGCAGTCCAATAAGGGTACATAATGCAGCGATCCAAGGGTGCTCTCTTAAGAAGAATTTAACCATATATCAAATTGTAGCTCTATGCATTTTGTGAACCACAGGTGTAATGAAAATTTTCATTTCTTTTCAAATTTTTAATGTATCAATTTACATACAATTTAATGAATAATTTCATAAATATATCAAAATATTACAGAAATAAATGATTAAAAACTTTTCCGAAATTTGAAATTCAATTTAATAACTGTATTTGAATCCTGTACCAAACTGTGTGACTGTTCTGTAACAGAACACCATTTTAAATTTTCATTAATTCTTATAAATCACCAAGCAGTACAGGAAATAAGATTTAATTTGGATAAATTCTGCATTATTAACTTCTATACAGTCACCTGGGATATTACATAACATTTACAAATTTTTGAAGACTATTCAAGTTAACAACAAAGTTAGGTAGAGTCACCTTTAGGTAATTTGTAAACACACATGTATATAAACTACCAAGCATTTATATATATATTTACAAAATTCTCAATAATGTCATGTTTTTTGGGTTACAACATAAATATCTGATTCAAAAGTTACAATATAAAGTAACATACTAACTTATTTTCACGTAAACTTGTCGTTTTATAAAAATGTTAACACTCCACGTTGAATTGCAAACGAATGCATTGAGGCTGCCATCTTGAAATTTAGTAAAGTGTTGCCATCTCACCGTAACAAATTATTATAATTATGCTCCACTGATTAAAAATAAATTATATAGTAATTTCGATTAGTTAAAGATAATTTTATTGGTCGTTTTAATCATTAGACACGTGTCCAGGGCTCAGGAGGATGTAAAACGAATTAATATTGTTTTCAAAATTTACAAAAACATGACTACGTAGCCTGTTGCGGTTTAGTGTCTAAATACCAGTCACGCAGTATAGCTGTAAAAGATTGAAGATGTCGGAGGGTCCCGAAATACCTAAAAGCCTAGGGCCATGGGGTTAATACGGCCCCAATTAATGGCCGGGCAGTTAAAGTAGCGACCTACCGCTCTGGGCATTCGGAATCGAATCCGAACGAATGGATTTGGTTTAGTTTTATTCGTATACGGCAACGCGACACATGGCATCTATCGATGGAAGAATGTCGCCCAGGAGACGTTTTGTGGAAAGCTTGTTCCTATTTAGGTGTTACTAACATGAAGAAAACCCGGAAAACTCCACGTGGCCGGCCCTTTAGCGAGGCGCTAACTTACTAAAACTATCATCAGTGTTCAGTGGTTTTATCCACTGGGCCACTAGCGGGACCGAACGGTCAAAAAATCTAGAAAATTTTTGGGCTGGTCCGTTCATATTTAATGTCGGGTCTCGTTCCTCATTATCGGCCGTTCATATTGCCTGGCCGAACTCGTAATGGACTTGCTGAAAAGGTTCTCTACAAATTTATCTTTAAAAAGATCTTTAGAGCGGGTGAAAGTGATTAAACTGTATAAAACAAACGTAATGTCACTAGTGCGACGTCATTGGTGACAATTACGGAACGCGCTTTTTCCGTAATTGTTAACGAATGAACAATACAACTGCATTGTGTATTTGTTGGAATGAAAATGCCATTAAAAATTTCTTGCAATTTTAATAAAAAAATTTTGAAATTTCGCTCGGCTTTAGGGGAAATAACTCAAGAAAAAACATGGAATTGATACAATATTCATTGAAAAAGTAAAAGCAAGAAATACTTTTAAAAAAAGATAAAAATGAAATTAGAAGTTTCTTGAATGTTCAACGTTAATAGATGAAGATTCAACATCAAAGGATGAACTAAAAAGGATGTAAGATGGAATTGAAGGTTAAATTATTTAATATGAAAAGATATAATTTCGAGTAAATACACATTCCCGTTATGTTTTTGTAAATATTTTATATACAGTTCTGCCAATTTCTCGATTTTGTTATACACGAACGAGTATAACAAGTGAAACCTTGCGAAAGAGTGGGTAGATATCAATCAGTGTTCATTCCCGTCCTGCGCTGACTTAGGAGTCGACTGTTTCCTGTTTCAGGAGACCTTCACCACGGATATAGCTGAGGAAATGACAAATGCAATTGGTCAGTCAATATATTGTATACATACATAGGAACAATAATCGTTTATGTATATTTACAAACTGTGTTTTATATGAGGTTATACGAAGGAGCATTTTTCAATCTCCGAAAAAATAGTATCATCCAGGATCTCTCAAAAAAATCTGCTTGAAAGAAATTCCGCGGCAAACAAGAATCTCATTAAAGAAATCTTGTTTTGCACATCATGTATTGGAATTGAAAATTATTGCATCTAATAATCCTCTTTGGCACATNTCGAACTCGAATCCGCAATTCCAACTTATTGTGAGATTACGTTGTCAGTTTCGCTACTCTGGATTATCCTCTGATTGATTCATTGACTGTCTTCTTTAATTCTTTTATGGTTATTACTCTTTTTTAGGTATCATTTTCTTCAGAACATTCTAAACACTTTCAACAGGTGCTAATGAGACAGGTTTTAATGTATCGAACACTACAGTAAGGAGGAGGCTAGTACCACTGAAACTAACGATATAACAAAGCACTATATGACAAAAAACTAAAAGAAAGATGGTTTGAAATGTCATAAAGACTAGAGGCAACGAGATATATATAGATCTTACAAGAATATGATAAATTAATAAGGAAGGGATAACTGTTATCTATCTTCTATCATAAAACTATATGGAAAAACATAAAAGAAAATTAAATTTGGTTTTACAGTTGAGGGAATAAAAACTATTTAAATTAAAATTAACCGTAAAGTTTAATATTAAGAATTAAATTTGCATTTAAATCCGGCACTAATTGATGATGCGAATTACCCGTTTTAGATGGAAGGCCATTCGGCTGGAGAAACAGACACGAAGGAACACCAAAATTTTTAGAATTTTTCTAGGATAGATTTTAGAACCAATCCAAATTTTCAGTTTTTTAATAACCTACAACCTCCCGAGAGGTATTCCCTCTCGGCAGATCGCTCATGTGTCGCGTTGCCATAAGCAAATAAACCAAACCAAACCACGTTGTTTGGTTTATTTGCTTATGGCAACGCGACACATGAGCGATCTGCCGAGAGGGAATACCTCTCGGGAGGTTGTAGGTTATTAAAACCCAAACCAAACCACGTTGTTTGGTTTGGGTATGTCGAGCCCGTTCACCTCTTTACAGAACCATTTTGAACTTGGTTGAACTTAAAATATGTCTGCTTCTTGTTAATGTTAATATGCCTGCAAGAACTAACATTAAACCAGTCGAGTAGTCGCGGGTTCGCACCTCACAATCCTCTTTGGCACATACCAGTGCCCGAGTAGATAAAACCATTGAACGCTGCTAGTTGGTCGTAGATTTGCGCCTCGCCATGAGCAAGCCATGTGGAGTTTTCCGGATTTTTTTTACATTAGCAACACGTAAATGGAGGCAGTTTCCCATTAAAAACCTCCGGGAAGCGTACCACCTTGACAAATCGCCCACGTGTCACGTTGCCGTATGCGAATAAAGCCAACACCTCAACTCTTTCCGTTATATGGCACTAAGAGGACTTTTTTTTTTATCAAGGCCATTTTGGGTTTATTTAGGAAGACAATGGTGGTCGGGTGTTGAAGGATGGGCTCAACATATCCGTACGAACCACCCTCCGAAAATTTCCTGGAGTTTTTCGACCCGTCCGGATTCGATTCCAGGGTCTCTCGGAGCGTTAGGCTTCCTCATTAATTATTCGTCCGTCCGGGTCGTTCTACTTATAAGGTTATTTTTTATCATGACGATGTTCGTGTACCGTTAGTATAAATTAATAATATCGTTAAACAATTAATAGGAAGGTTATTTCAATTATTTGTTTAAATAATATAAACAAAAAAGAGATTTATTTAGGCCTTATTTTGCTTATTTGAATATCCATCTTTTTACATCTTATTATTTCCACATTTTGAATAATTTAAATTAAATCAAATATTAAACAAAGAGCCGGATTCCTTCATAGGGCTATTAAGGTTAAATAATTACTAAGCAATTTGGCAGATGGCTGGCAACCAGGTCGCCATCTCTTATTAAATAGTACAATTATAAGTAAATAAATAAAATTATATGAATTTTAGAATATTTTGGAGAAAATTGAATATAGAAAAATATCAATAAAATAAAATTAAATCAATTTAAATTATATTCTTAACAAAAAAAAGTACTATATATATGAGAAAACCAATACAATATTATGAACAGATACAAAGTAATTAAAGTTGACGGTGCTGCCTCTAGCGGAGAGCATGAAAAGTGAACGTTACCTGCGTTTTTTCGCTTAAAACATTTTTTGAGAACGAATTTTAAAAAAAGAAAGAGTCAAGCGACAATCCAAAATAATATGATTTGTAGAAATGCATCAATTATAAAAATTTTCACGGTAGTTTATTAGTTCCAATGTGCGCTATTATATTTATACGTCGTGATGACATCATAATATTGAATTTCCAGATGGCCGAGTGGCTAAGGTAAAAGTCTACGCTCTGGTACCGGAATCGATCAGAACAGATCAAAAAACCTCGGGAATTTTCCGACGATGATCCATCCCCCCACTATCCAGTTGTGGGCACGTCCGAACCCATGACTGGCTTGTAAAAAAAACTCTCTGGGTGTCCAAACGGCAAAACGAGTTTAAAAAAGAATGTTAGCTTTTATCCCTGCCTCAAATATCTTTCATTATACTGTGAAATCAAACACCAACGTCGAAAATACAGTATTTAACTTTTAAAAACTTACAGACTATTATTAAAAGACTTCCCAGACTAGACTATAAGCTATAAAGATTTACAGATTATTAAAATAATAGTAGTAAAATTTCAAATTTTATGGTTGTTGTTTATTAAACTGATTAAATAACACTTTTATCTTGGTTTTTGCAGTTCTCTGCATTCACCGCATGCTTTATAAATAAATAAAATATTTTAAAGGCTAAACTTTAAAATGTTCTTCTCGTTTTCTCATATTTTATAATAAAACAAAACCACAGTAGCAATTATTAAATATATTTATTTACAATTATTAAATTCTTATAATAATTTCTCCGATAAATGCATTTAAATTATATTAAATGAAAGCGAATCAAGTGATATTTTACAACTTTGGATCGTGAATTCCAATCAAAATATATTCTTTATCTGAAAAAATACAATAAAATTCTCTAATTTAATCATTTTAAAGTGAAATAAAGGTAGCAAAATACATAGAATTTACAAGAATATGATAAATTAATAAGGAAGGGATAACTGTTATCTATCTTCTATCATAAAACTATATGGAAAAACATAAAAGAAAAGAAAATTAAATTTGGTTTTACAGTTGAGGGAATAAAAACTATTTAAATTAAAATTAACCGTAAAGTTTAATATTAAGAATTAAATTTGCATTTAAATCCGGCACTAATTGATGATGCGAATTACCCGTTTTAGATGGAAGGCCATTCGGCTGGAGAAACAGACACGAAGGAGCACCAAAATTTTTAGAATTTTTCTAGGATAGATTTTAGAACCAATCCAAATTTTCAGTTTTTTAATAACCTACAACCTCCCGAGAGGTATTCCCTCTCGGCAGATCGCTCATGTGTCGCGTTGCCATAAGCAAATAAACCAAACCAAACCACGTTGTTTGGTTTGGGTATGTCGAGCCCGTTCACCTCTTTACAGAACCATTTTGAACTTGGTTGAACTTAAAATATGTCTGCTTCTTGTTAATGTTAATATGCCTGCAAGAACTAACATTAAACCAGTCGAGTAGTCGCGGGTTCGCACCTCACCAACGGGCCATATGTTTTCCGGATTTCCTTTGCTCGTCTATCGCCTAAATAGAAGCCAGTTTTCTATAAAAGATATCCTTTTGGACGATTGCGAAATAAATTTATATGTACCGGGTACAGCTATAACTTCGTTCTTCTCGGAACGAATTCTTATGAAACTTAAATCATTTATAGGATCGAGTTGTCTGATTGTACTTCTTGATTTTTCCACCATTCCAACGACGAGTTCGGCATAATTAGCCGATGCGAAATAAGGAATATTTAACGTAGTTTTAATTGGAATGCCTGAAAGAATGTTCTATTATTATAATATCTTTTACATAATTAACTAGCTGTTACCCGCGACTTCGTCAGCGGAGGTTTTGCAAGCAAACCCCATTTACATCCAATATTTCAATAACCATAGTAATTGTTATATAACACCTACCGCTGAAGAGAATTGCCGAAAATCAAACGAACTATTTTCAATTTGATCAATTTTCTGAAACGTTTACAATCGTTCTATAATCGAACCAATACGCAATAACAAATTCGAATTTAAAACGGTTCGAACATTTTTAAAATCGAAATGGATAAAAATATTTATAACAATGTCTGAAATGTTATTAATTTAATACACCTAAGTACTCGATGAAAACTATATTCTCTCCCTCACCCCCCGCGGGGAAATTTCTAAAAATCCCTTCTTAGTGTACATTCTCATGGCATACCCTACTACAACGCAGATAAAAACAAAAAATCGCATCTAAAATAGCGCAGTAGAAGCCGTTCTTCCGGTTAAGCCTTAATGCTCTCCCTCACCCCCCGCGGGGAAATTTCAAAAAATCCCTTCTTAGTATGCATTCTCATGGCATACCCTACTACAACACAGATAAAAACAAAAAAATCGCATCTAAAATAGTACAGTGGAAGCCGTTTTTCCGGTTAAGACTTAATGCTCTTCCTCACCCCCCGCGGGGGACTTTCTAAAAATCTCTTCTTAGTGTGCATTGCCATGGCATTCACTACTAAAACGCAGATAAAAACAAAAAATCGCATCTAAAATAGCGCAGTAGAAGCCGTTTTTCCGGTTAAGACTTAATGCTCCCCCTCACCCCCCCGCGGGAAACTTTCTAAAAATCTCTTCTTAGTGTGCATTGCCATGGCATTCACTACTAAAACGCATATAAAAACAAAAAATTGCATCTAAAATAGCGCAGTAGAAGCCGTTCTTCCGGTTAAGCCTTAATGCTCTCCCTCACCCCCCCGCGTTGGAATTTCGAAAAATCCTTTCTTAGTGTGCGTTTCCATGACGTACCCTAACTGTGTACCAAATTTCACCTCTTTAGGTTAAGCGGTTTGCTCTGGGCGATGATGAATCAGTGAATGAATGAGTGAGTCAGTCAGGACAAGCAATTTTATATATTTAGATAAAAAATCTGAAAGTACCGCAATTATTTGACAGAATTAATCCGTTAACTCCTTTTTGTGAACGCAAATTGCTTAATTTTTCATCGGCATCCATCTGTTTAAGAAATAAAAAAATAATTTTGAAAATTTGTGAAAAATTACAGAATTATTCTTAAAATAGTAAATAAAATAATAAAAAATAAAATGCGATTACGTTCGAAAATAACCATTCGATATCTTTATTCAAAAATAACGACGTCACTCGAATTTAAATTCATTTTAGCAAGTTAACTAAACATAAAAATAGCGGTAATATAGCCAAAAGTTTTTAAGTTTTTAATTATAATTTTTAAAAATTAACTTTTTTTTCTCCCTGGCCATTATGGTTTTTTTAAAACTCTTTCCGACCTAAGCAAGCTTTTATAGCAAGCCCATTATGGATTCGGTCAGGGCCACAATGGGGCAGCCGGTGTTGAGGAATGGGGTAGAGATATCCGGACGGATTAACTCCGAAAAATTCCCGAGTCCGGATTCAATTTCGGGTCACTAAAAAGGCATTTGCAATACCCGAGTTCGTTCACATTTACAATACATATGGCCAAATGATAATGCCCGATATAGCCCAGTCATTTCATTCATGAAAGTTCGTTAGTCGATCCAACCAAACTTGGTCCTTCAGATCGGTAATTTGATTTATAAGCTTCTGTAATTCGGCTGTCATATAAGTTCTGGAAGGAAAGAATCGGTCCGAAATCGAACTCGAATCCGCAATTCCAACTTATTGTGAGATTACGTTGTCAGTTTCGCTACTCTGGATTATCCTCTGATTGATTCATTGACTGTCTTCTTTAATTCTTTTATGGTTATTACTCTTTTTTAGGTATCATTTTCTTCAGAACATTCTAAACACTTTCAACAGGTGCTAATGAGACAGGTTTTAATGTATCGAACACTTCAGTAAGGAGGAGGCTAGTACCACTGAAACTAACGCTATAACAAAGCACTATATGACAAAAAACTAAAAGAAAGATGGTTTGAAATGTCATAAAGACTAGAGGCAACGAGATATATATGAATCAAAAATATGTATTGGCTGTGGTGACGATGGAAGTATATTAGTATACAGAAGATCAGATGAAAAATTTCATCCTGTTTCATCACCAAAATTTCCAAAATGTGTAATGTATAACCTGTAAAGGGGTTGATGGGATGACAATCCTTAATAGAACATTGAATGCTGATGGTTATTTTGGAGTTATTAGAAGCTTTGAACGTTAAAATATCTGAAGATCGTTTCGTTAATGAGAATTTCATCTACCAGGATGACAATGTATCGTGTCATAGAACTAGACAAATTAAATAATGGATTCGAAAACATAACATACGGCATTTATAATGACCCGCCAACAATCCAGATACATCTCCCATTGAAAATGTTTGAAGGTTCTAAATAAAATGGTGTCTGAAAAGCAGTGGAGTGCCGTGACATTTAATGATAGGAAAGTTGTGTTACTGTAAGAAGACGACATCCAGGGGCAACCAGTCAATTGCGCGTCAGTGATGGTCTAGGGCAGGGGTGGCCAACAGTTTTTGCCTCCGGGCCGAATTGGAAAGAAAACTTTTTCCGCGGGCCGAACCAGAGGCCGTCCTAGGAAGATTTTGAGGTGGTGCGAGATCTCATTGTAGTGTCACCCCGTAGAGACTGAATTGTAGATAGAGATTACAGATACATTTTTCACATTATCATGCTATATCAACATTCTACGCGGTACTTAGGATATTTGTAATGGAGGGAACTATATGACAGCACAATGAGTTGTTGACCTTTTTTTTTTTTTTCTTTTTTAGGCGTCAGAATTTTTCATCGAGCTATTCGAGACTTCATTAGCTATTATTGAAAGATTGTTCGCGGGCCACATTAATTCATTAGACGGGCCGGATCTGGTCCGCGGGCCGTATGTTGGCCATGCCTGGTCTAGGATCCATTCGTATCGTTTATTCGATAAGCCAGTAAAAACCGTAGACTTCTCTAAATGCATTTTTAATATTACAATAACATTCCGAATCGCTAGCCACGATATAAGGGCTACAATTAAAAATAAAATAATAATAACTTACTCGGTGAAATAAAATATGTGATTGACGTACCGGTACATACCCGGTACAAAATATTTTTCAATTGTACGAATATACTTTTAAAGAAAATTATAATTAAACGTAGCTTTGCAAAGAAACGTACATAAAAATATAAAATATTCTTTACTTTTTAAATCTTAAAACAATGCACTTAGTCAAATAGCTCCCTACGAGTGGCTAACGGATGGAATCGAAGACGGTTGCGGAGCGTGCATACACGCGGACTGCCAAATCCCCAGGGTGCCGATACTGGTCAATGTCAAATACCTCTTTTGTCGGATCACTAGTATATCTCAAAGGACGCGACAGGGCCGTTGTAGATTTTAAACGTTTCTCACCATAGCTGTAAACATCTAAATACGTTAAACTTAATAGTCGTTTGTTTTCTAATTCTTTTTAGGACCAAGTGTCCTCAGAAATTTCCAAAATTTACAACTTTTCGGTCACTCTCGTTGAACTGGAAACATTTCTGTCTTTATTACATTAATAATACGAAGAAATCAGTCTCCACTGTACTCGGCTAGAGATGATTTGGTTAAGCTTTTGTTTAAATAAAATTTCGGCTCTTTCATCAGAGTTTTGTTTACGTCCTCAATTCCCTAACCGCTTAATTATTTAACTACTTCTTAAGTAGAAATAAGTCGAAACCGGTTACTTTGTACTCGAATATTTGTAGTCTCGGGAAAAAAGTGGAAAGACAAATTTTTATGACAAACGGTTACATAAATCGCAAATTTAATGAAAATAAATTCTAGAGCTTTTTCTGTACCTGATGCATCTCTCTCATTCATTAATTTAGTTGTAAATTATGCTACCAAAGTAACGGTTAATTTTTTACCATTATACGAGAATTGTACACGTTTTTTTCTGCATTCCCTTAAAGATGGGATATACAAAATCGTAATATCACCGGTTTAACATTGAAATCCGTGAGTAATATAAAATAGAAGAGCGGAATAAAAATATCAAATATTTTAATGGATTTTTTTAAAACTCCTGTCAACTATCGTACAGAACTATCGTAAAAACCTACCAGTAAATTCTTATCGGTCGGGTTAAGTTATAAATCTACTCGCGATTCGCGTAATCGGGCGAGGGCGGCCAAATATCTAGCGGGCGGGCGGCTAACTGCCCGGAACCGGTCCCGGAAAGAATTGGATGTGGTACACGTGTAGCATCCACCCGAGGTCCTAGGATTCCACCGGCTAAACCAGGTGAGGTTGGTGCTCCGTAAAGGGCATGTGCGAATCTGGTTTTTTGGATGCACGTGTACAATACAGATCCCGAACGTGACAATATATATAACCCGAAACCTTAAAACTAACCTTAAACACTAACTTAACACTAATAACAGAAAAAGGGATAAAATTAAGAAGACAGAATAAATGGTAGATAAGATAGAAATAGGGATATCCGGGCTTTTGTTCTTTTTTTCGGCTTGTTTCTTTATGCGTACTGTCGGGTGGGATAACACACGTCCTTCTCTTATAACTGGCCAGTTCTCTTCTTTAATGATTATTTTTCCTTCCACTGTCGTCACTACGACCTTAAAACAGGATTTTTTTTTCTCAACTTATTTCTGAACTCTCCGGTCGTTGCTAATACGACTCGCAATATTCTCATCTCGTCCGTACACTCTCCGGGTCCTGTTTACATCTTTGCTCCTCAAATTTCTAGGAACTGCTCATCTCACCCAAGGGACAGGGAATAGATAAGAAAGTTCTAGAATAAAATAGAACAATAGAACAAAGGGTAGAAAGAAGAAATGAAACTAAACTAAAATTAATATTTACAAAAATATAGCGTATAGCCACAATAGTTTGGGATAGCATAGATTACGTTTGCGTTTTTGGAGAGTGTTGAGTTAAATTAAAATAAAAACAATGTCGACAAAATAGTTTAGTAGTGTAATATGGAAATATTTTACGATAGTAAATGACGAATGTGCTAAATTTGTGAAGGAAAGTATTCCCGTAACGGTAAAGGTACAATATCGTTAAAAAAAATCATTTCCAGAGGAAACACTCGCATGAATATGCTTTATTCTTAAAAGAAGACTCCGCTAAGAAGAGTGCCGACGAAACCGTTCAACAGGGAACATCTTTACAAACGGTAAAAAGAGAATTTAGACTAACATTTTTTAACGAATTCATAGAAAAAGTCAAAATGTGGGATAATACAAACCCCAAGTCAATAAAAATTGACTATTTAATTGCAGAAATGATAGCTTTATCTGATTTATTTTTTCAACACATAGAAGGATTGGGGTTCCTACGATTGATGAATCATGTTGTTCCAAATTATATTCTAAAAGGCAGGAAATATTTTACGGAACTTGTTTGCGGCGAACTTTACAATAAAGTGTCATCGAAAATAAAGAACATATTGAAGGATTTTGAGAAAGTTTCTTTTACATCAGATATCTGGTCAGATTCTTTGTCAGGAGTTTCATTATTATCCTTAACGTGTCATGGCATTACAAAAGATTTTATAAGAAAAAATATCGTTTTGAAAGCGGAGATTCTTGACGAACGTCACACGGAAGATTACATTTCGGCAATATTTTAACGTATGCTCGAAGAGTTAACGTATGCTCGAAGAGTGGGGAATCCCGAAACAGAATGTGTGCACTGCATGGTAAGAGATGGGGGATCCAATATCAAGCGTGCCTACACTTTATCTGACATAAATAACATCGACTGTACAGCACATCAGCTGCATCTTGTGGTCAAAGAAGCTGTTAAAAATGTTGATGCAATATCTATGTTACTTACAAAATGCAGAAAAATTGCAGGACAATTCAAACATTCTACAATGGCAAAGCAAGAATTAGAAAAAAATACAAGTTCGAATCAATCAAACAGAAGTAAATATCACAACTACTACAATTAGCACAGAAAAACCAAATGCTGTAAGAAAAAAACATTGCAACAATTTAGAAGACTCTATGGCCAATATATTAGTGACGATGAAGATGAGGAATCTGAAAACCGAATAACATACACTAATGCTAATTTGCTCACAGAATATGCCAAAGAAAAAAGATTATCAAGAGACCAAGATTCATTAAAGTATTGGGAGATTAATAGTAAAAAATTTGGTCTTAGTCACATGGCTCACACATATTTATCGTCACCTGCAACAAGCTTTCTAAGTGAGCAGTTTTTTTTTTAGTGCAGCAGGAATTATTTATGATCCTCATCGTACTAGACTTTTGGAGGATAAAGCTGCCAAGTTACTCTTTTTTTGAAGTACAATTTACCATTAATTAATTTTGATTATGACATTTAATTTTTTGAAGTTTCTAAAAATGTAATTATTTTATCTGATAATTTGATAATTATTATAATATAATATAATATAACTATGATGATTATTTCAATTAGCATTAGAGGTTTGATTTCAATATAAAGATAGTTAAATTAATTATAGTAAGTTACCTTATACTGGTAACTTACTATAATTAATGTTTAAATATTTAATTTTTGCAATATGAATGTGCAAAATATGTGATTTTAAGAAATAAAAAGTGATTTGAATTAAAGTTATTAGTATTTTATTGCTACCTATCTTTAAAATTTCATATAAGTAATGAAATTCATTAAGATAAAAGATCCATTAAAGATCCGCTAAAAAGTAACGGATACAGAAAAGGATATTCGGCACATCACTAATTAATATTCGAATATACAATAGCGATCTTATCTTTTTTTCACGTGTAGTATAGAAATTTGTAATAAGATACATAATGCGGTTATAATAAAATATGGTGCGATTATTTTCATATAATTAAAGTTAATATGTATTTATTTTTTTAGAAAATACAAGGGAAGCGGCTCATCCACCGCTTCTAATGACGGCACGCCATTGCTGAAAAGGAACTACAATTATAGAAGAAATAAGAAGACAAAGAATCACGGTCAAAGATTGATCCAGAACTATATACAAAAGTTATTTTTACAATACCACAAAGAATTACTGTTGTAATTAGGCTTTAATCATCAGTGTTCCATGTTTTCCACTATTTCCTACTTTTGTTCAATTTTTACTTGTTTAAAATGCTGTAATTTTATGTAAATATCTTTACAACGTTTGGTGTGTAAATACTTTAATACGTCTGTTATATTATATTTTCGTTGATAGCTTCTCTGAGTACCCCTAGACGAAACTAACCGAATGAAATGATGCTGCGATCTGCCAAGGGGGATGTTAATTGGTTGTTTGGTTTTGTGGGTTATGGTGTGGTTATTTTGTATATATTAATTTTAGTTTTAGAGTATTCTCCTTTGTTCTTCGATTCTTCTTGTTTCTAGATCTTTCCTTTCTAACTCTTTTCCCTTGGGTGGTGAGGACCGATTCTTGGAACCATGGAGAACAAAGAAAGAAAAGAGGCCCCGAGGGCTAGTGACAGAAAGGGAAAGACATTCTTTGGCCCCGATCTCAAGGTGGACAGACGTTGATAAAAGGTGTAGTAACTAATAAACTTTAATTAAAAGTAAAAGTAACTATTAAAGTAACCTAGTAAAGACGACGACGAGAGATGTTTCAGGAAGAGTTCAACGTGGCCTCCCACCCAATTTGTGAAGTTCAACAAAACCACGGGTATTTCACTCTTTATCCTATTTTTCCTAATTTCTCTACTTATCTTACCATCTCCTTCTCTCCTCTAGTTTTAAGTTAGTTTATAAGTATTAGGCATAGTTTCCGGATATCATTTATATTTGTATGTCGCGAACGGTACATTTTTGCCATTGTCTGCCGTTATATATCGTTTGCAGCCGTGTTGTAATTATTTACTGCTGAGTTGGAATCTGAAAAGAACCTGTTCACATACGCGAAATGAAATGCTTTGCTTGACCATATAACTTACTGTTGCTTAGTATTCTTGATACGTTTTTCCCTTGTCAGTTTACTTATATTTCGCTTGAACATCACAATGGCAACGTAAAATGTAGGCGATAACAAGGGGAATTCCTTCAGGGAGGACTTTTTAGAGGAAACTGGCCTCTACTTAGACGTTAGGTCTGCCAAGAAGGATGCCTCTCGGGAGGACTTTTTATAGGAAATAGGGTCCTGTTTAGGTTTTAGACACTAAAAAAAAAAAAACCCGGAAAATCACTCAATCACTGACTTTTAAAATGTTAAATAAGTTTTCGATGCAAAATTTGATTAATTTTATTTTTCATAATGATTAAAATAAATCCAAATTTTCGGATGATGATCTGAGAAGCGATGATTTGAATCTTCATTACGAAGAATTGTGAGCAGCAAACTTGGATTCTCTGCAAGCCTGCAGCCAAATGGCGATAATTAAAACACCTAAAAACTCCCTGAAATAAAGGAAGAATTACATTTAGTACGGGTTTAATTCATTAGCGAGGATTAATAGTTTAATTAGAATAAATATCTAAGTTAAAACAGACGTTACTCAGATATGAGGTTGTAAAATACTCATGTTTTAAGAGTATTCACGTAAATCTGAATTATGAAAAAAGCTTTAATGTGTAGTCATTATACAGTTAAACCTCCGAAGAAAGGCCATTGACGAAAGCATAAATAAATGGCAAAGTTGTTCGGAGTTTGTCGCTGTTTAGAGGTTCAACTTGTGCTAATTCCGCAAACAGTAGTTAATTAATAACTAAACTTTGTCGGAAGTTTATTTTTATATGCTGAAGATTGTAACTGTTAGGGTCCTTTGGGACATTATGAAGGAGAAAACTTCTTAACACTTCTATACAACAGTTGAGAACTTAAAATAAACTAATATGCATAAGGACTTTGTGGCCAACCTGTACTTCAAATCTGAATGTTAATAGCAATCTTAGCTAAATGTAAATTATATAATAAATTGCATAATTACCTCCCCTCTTCGTAAAACATTGGATTGAAACCTAAACGGGGTTGCAAAACACGTGCAAACTCTATCAAGAGATAAATAGAAAATCCAACTGAAAAGGCGAACGTAACCGAGCACATTACTCTCCAAAATATATTACCTAAAACGAAATTTAAAAAACAAAAAAGTATGAGTAATTCTATTAATATTTCTGTATTTAAATATTTAAAGAATACATTAAGCTTAAAGTTGCAAGGTGTAGACGTAGAATAAAGGAGATAAAACGTGAGACACGACAACAAAGAATCGATTTTCTAGTGTATAATAAACAAATACTCACCGAGTATCGCAGGATATAAAGCAACAGAAAATGTCAATAGAGAAGGAATTGTATAAACTGTCTAAAAAATTTAAAATAAAATAAAAATACACATAAAAAATTACATAATTAATTATCCTACTCACAATCCATAGATACCAATCTGGATCGTCTATCTACAACATTTGATAATGATAATTACATTAATAAAATAATAATAACATAGAAAATTATGTGCTAAATACATTTACTAACCTGTAAATATGCTTCAAAGGCGAAAAAAATCCCCATGAATGTGTTTATCCATCTCCAACTGCTCCATGTTTTCGTGTTTGTTGATCTTAACAACGGTAAAGAATCGTCTTTAGAGCTAGAAAAACAATTAAATTTAATAACAAATTCATAAAAATTTACTGTTTCTTTTTTTAAATCATAATTCCAACCTGTTAACGTCGTCGTTTTCTGACTCATCGCTAGAAGATTTAATGATCTGCCTCCTTTGGAAACTCATTGTTACTCGCAATGCATTATGGATGTGTATCACATGATATTTCCTCACTATTTGATAAAATATCCCTCACTTTTAGATATAGAATTTAGAGTAGAAGCTTTACCCTTTGACAAAATTTAATAAAAGAAAATATTCACATTGCTCCGTGTGATATAAATTACCTGTATACAGCGGCCATTTTTTTTTATGTCTTTGATCAGTGGTCGTTGTTTAGAGGTTCGAATGTACATTTTGTGATTTTTTTAAAATAGTGAGGATATTTTCAGTGTATAAAAATGCTTTAAATCGAATATTTAGCTTTAAAATATTGATTTTATGAGGTGATAAAAATCAGTAAAGGGAAATATCACATGTGATCACGAAAGAGAGAAATAAATAAATATTACTTCTAAAAATAATAAGAATTTTGTTTATTTATTTTTCAATGATAAATTAATCGTATTTGATCGTCCGTCCGTTTGTCAGTACGATAATTACGAAAGCAAACTCCAGTACGAGTTTATATAAAGCCTCGCACGTAGAGACTTCATACAAGTACAGATTCAGTCAAACTTCGATATAGCGCCAATGAACACAAGCGACCTTTTAAATACGCTTCAGCCTCTGTGAATTATTAATATGCATTGCAAAGGTCATTAATCATCTGGCATTCGAACTCTCATCGTTTTGAAATAATTCTTATTAGTCGAGGTCATTCGATTTAGCGCCACGTCTGATTAAGTGCGAATAAATGATAGCGCTATATCGAGGTTTTTACTGTATATGTTTGTCGATACTTGTTCTATTATTATTCGAATGTAACTTAATTCTAGATAGGAATCTTAGACTTTGTTACAAGCTTAATTAACGTTACATGAACTGAAATTAGGGCCTCTCGAGCCCGTGCTTTGACTAGGGTCCCTCATAAACTATTTTCTATGGGACAATTTATATATAAAAAAACGTCACAAAGTTATTCTAGATCAATTTGAAATATTTACAATAGCTTAGTTATGATATAATCACAAGACTATGTAATCAGAATACAATAGGACAATTTGGTTCGAGTACCAGATAAAGAAGGCCTCTTAAAGATAGAATTTCAGCAAAAAATTGATAAAAAAAAAATAATAGAAATTGGTTTCATTGATTTTATTCATCTATTTTTATAAAGAGGTGGTCCACATGTTTATTAATATCACTATCTCAACTTGGAGGTTAGCTAGACTAACTATAGTAGGGGTGACTATATACTATATACCCCGCGTTTTTTTATGCAGCGAGAGTGTAGCGAAATGACGTCACGAGCAGTATTGGCCAATTAGAAACCAGTTTCAGTGTGTTCGCTGTAAAGCGCTTCTCGAGCGCTGCATAAAAAAAACGCGAGGATACTGTACTATATAAGGCCAATCCACAATGCTAGCATTTTGGATTGGCTTTACCTTCTGGGGTTACTACATACCCCAAAGAAAGAATAGCTCTAAGATGGTCTTTTTTCCAGGAACATTGTGAGTTTGGGAAGTTTGGACAGGTCCATAATAAAGGGCGGGGTGGGTCACCTACATTTAATCCCGGGTCCCCTAAGCAGTAGACTGACCCCTTAACTTCTGAGTGATAATCCATAGACCTAACTTTTCTACTATACGTTTTCTAGAAGAATCGTTACCAAGAATATTCGAATCCAAACCGTCATAGCAGAATTACAAATTAATTTTATGTTGTTACCTTGACATTCGGGTATATTCGAACGGTTAAGCGTTCTGAGGACCCATGATAGGATCCGAGCGAACCGATCCCCAAGAATTTTTATGGGCTATCTGTCCCCGATACGTCAGTCACAGTCCTCATCATATCGTGGGCCCGGCCGAACTTACGATGGATACGGTAAAAATGCCCCGTCAGTGTCCAGAAGGTAAAAAGATCCAACAACGAGAGGTCTGTCTGTCTGTCCGGATACGTCGAGACACGTCTCTCACCATTCTGGCCCAGCTATGAATACATTACGAGCTTGCTAAAAATGCTTTACTAGCATCCACAGAGCTTTAAAAATCTTTTACCTTTAAAATTACACCATTAAAATCATTTAAAACAAATTTTGTAAATATAAAAGAATCGCTGAATCAGAAAAAAAATATTTTCTGGGGCACGCATAAGAACGTGAGTTTCCAAATTCCGAACAAATTTAATTACCCACGTCATCATTACTTTTGTAAAAATAGCCAATGTCCGTCTGTTACACTAAACTTTTATCGATAGCGATTGAATGTATTCTATAGGTTATCAGTGACAAAGTTTATCTTTTCTTGGGAATCATATTTGCTGAAGTGGCATCTGAAACATTGAATACTGTTACACAATAACATATTTTGCGTATATTAATACTGTGACAGTGAATTAAGGTGGTTATTTATCATATTATTACTATATAATAATCACAAAGTTCACTTCTAAACAGTGATATAGCATTCTATTTCAAGAGGCTCTAGCATTCTCACTTTAAAACAGGATCTTTGAAAATAAGAAAACAATATTGAAGCTGGTTAAAATACAAGAAAATCTTAGGTATATTATGTATATTTTTTTTTCTTATATTTTAGTATAATATATTAATAATTCATTCATTTATAATTTAATTAATAGCGTCGAGTAAATAGAGGAGGGTTTGAATTTTGCTATTTAACTTATATAATATTAAGTGTTTTAAAATTTTAATGAAATTTATACATTTTTCTTATAATAAAGTATTAAGAAATGCCTTATATATAATTAAATTACGGAAAATTTTTAAATTATAAGCTAAATAAAATGTGGAATACAAGAAGATCATGCGTATTAGTACTTTTTAAAATAAGAATTTCATCTAGGTAATTATGTAAATTATGCTATTGATGTATATTTATTATTATTATATATATATTTATAAATATCTCTTAAAAATTAAATACTTTTAAATGTCCAAAAAGTTATAAATTAAAATTTATTACATTAATTTAAAATAGAACCCGCGGATAAACTTAGTCGCGAGTTCGCGCACGACCGGAGGACTCGGCCTGGAATTTTTGGTGTATTCTTATGTGTTTAACACATAAAATGGAGCCATTTTTCTATAGAAAGTCCTTTCGGGAGACATTTTCCTTGACAGATCGCCCGAGTATTTCCGTACGCTTAAATGTAATAATGGAACGGAGCGGTTTAAAAATTCGAAAATTAAAATTCTTGATAAATAGATATTAATATTTTTTAGATAAAAAAAATAAAAATCTTTCTAAATGTTTTATTCTTAAATAAACGCATTTAATAATAGAAATAATAGATTTAAATCGAAAAAAGACAGAGTAAACCGTTTAAGAAATTAATTATTCATTTCAGTCATGTCCATTTTCTTAGCATTTATTTTATTATTTAAACATAACTGTTAATATTCCGAAAAAAATATCAAAGTTTTATTAAATTACATTAAACGAAAATTTATAAAACTTTAGCGATTAATTTTTAAATAAGGAAGATGGCGTCATAATTTAAGATATGTATTCTGTCTCCCAACCGGAAGATCGCGATCGACTAAGTAAAAAAAATATTAAATAAACTTAATTTAAATAAGATTTAATAAGTATTTAATATAAAAAAATATTTAAAAGTAATTAGTTATTAAAAGTACAATATCTGCGCGAATTAATTTTATTATATTTTTATTAATTGATGTATAATTATTTTTTCATAAAGTGAATTATAAAAATATCTTACATAATTATTTATCGTTATTAAAAAGTATAAATTTTAATATTATAAAAACATTAATTTGATTAAAATCAAGAAATATTTATTACTAAATTAAACCTTTAATTAATGAATATTAAAATGTTTTAAAAAAAAAAGTTATAACCGCGAGGAGGCGTTTTTTTCCCGCTAAATTCATCCAAATTTGTGAAATTTTGTACAGTAATTTGTAAGTACAATTTTAAATTAATAAATAAATAATTTTTAATAAATTAAAAAGTAATTTCAAAGACAAATTTACACACAAAGCAACAAATTAACCATTAAAATACATTTTCTGTTACATAATAAAATAATTAGAAAAAATAAAAGTTTCGTTAAGGGCCTGACAAGGTAAGGAATTAAGCCTAATATTAATTAATTATAAATGAAATATTTGCACAGAATTAAATACAAAAAATTAATATTACTTCATTTATACTTTACTGCATACAATACCAATGAATATTTCCATTAGCTCAATCATTTCAGCTTAAACTTTGAGAATTTCATGGAAAAAACTAATTTTTTTTTTTGCTGATAGACAGAAAATTTGAAGAAAAATTCAAAAGAAAACAAATTTGTTAATCTTTTAACCTCAAATTATTATAAAAAGCTTCATATTTCATGATTTTATGGTAATTCCTTCAATTTGCCATGTTTTTTTTTAAAAAAAGAATAAAACCTGAAGGAAAGTCCAAATGAGATGTAAAATTTGAAGCAAATCCTTTTATAATATTGCAAATTGTAAATTTCAGCTTCAAATTTAAGAATTTCATGAAAAGTTTTTAATAAACGACAGTTCTCACTTTACAAATTCATTAGTAAAAACAAATTTATAAAGATTTCTGGCTTAAAATTTGATACATTTAAGAATTTTGAAGCCAATTTCGTACAAAATTAAATTTCTTCAAACGTAGCAGTAAAGATTGTTTTAAAAAAATAAGACATTAAAGATTTTTATAAAGAAAAACAATAATAATTCGCTATCGCATTAAAAAATTACAAATTAATTTACGTAATACGATGATTAATTTTAATGCATGAATTGCGTAAACTAATGCAAAGTTTTATAATTAAATATAAAGCTAAATCCTTACAAAATTAATTTTATATGGATTTAGTTTAAATTTTTCAAATTAAGAATTTTAATTTTAGATTTTAATAAATGGTATCAAAATATCTACTGTTTAATGTTGGGAAAATCACAGATAAATCCGTATATTTAAAGTAATAACTTGCTATAAAAGATTGAAAAAAAAATCTGATCATTTTGGTTAATTTAGATGAATATTTTAAATATTAAAATTTGCACTTATACATATGATTTAATCATTTATAATAAAGTTAATTAGAAATATTGTTTTGAAAACAAATGGATGTAGTGTAATTGTTACTATAATTTAATATAAAACTATTTAATTTTTGATTATTATGACAATTTAACTTATGATTTTGTTTTAAAAATGCCTTTATTCAGATAATGTTTTATTCTATCTGAATATTTGTTATATTGTATTATTATTTGTTATGTCTTATTTCGAAAAAATGTCTTATATAGTCTTTATAATATCACAGCAAAGACAATTGATAAACTGTTTTATACAACATTATTATTCATAACATAATACTGATAAATTTACAAATTTTTCTAATTAAACTAATTACATAATCAGATTTGTGGTATTATACTTGTACTAGTTGTTTGCTAATTATATAATCGAATGATTGTACTCGATACATTTTCAATTATCTATTCAAAATGTATGAAGAAGTTAAGACATTGATAATTATGATTCGAGAACAAAGCAGACATTAAATATGAAGAAATTTATAATGTAATTGGAATAAAAACTTGAAAGTTTAAGCATTGTTGTAATTATATTACAGAAAACTCTGCAATTAAATCCTGGAAGGTAGTTTTGCTATGCGACTTTTTGAATGTTTACTTAGTATTTTTTTTAAATTAATCGCCTCAAGAAGCTATACATTTCTTGCTTTAGCTTATTGCGAATATTAGAAACATTTTGCGCTTCCAAAATTTCTACACTTTACCAAAAATTATTGCAAAAATAAGATTATATTGTTATGTAGAACGAACTAGACCCCCCTTTTTTTCAAACGTAAGCATTATTCAGCGAATTCTTGTCATATGACACATACCTATTTTTTCAAATATAAATCTTACCAAATTTACAACAGAATAAATCATGTATGTGTACTTTTTTCGGTTCCTTACTAAAATCACAACTATAATTTTCATCATATGACATCTCTAAAGCATCGATTTAGTCAGCTCATTAGAGATTTTCAAGACTAAATCAATCTCACGTAAGCTGTAGTTGATTCACTCTTGAATAAAATTTTACATTAAAGAAATAACAGCAATTTGCGTATAATAATTGTCCCAATATTGTAGATTATTAAAAGTATAGATCAAAAGTCA